AGCACGGCCACCTGAGAGTCACAACCCCGGCCCCAAGTATCTGAATTCGTGCGGACTTTTCTTTTTATCCCCCACGCAGGGGAATGTGTAAGGCACAGCGCTCCCATCTTGGCTGGCGCGATGAGACTCCGCGGGCGCCGAGGACCTACCGGGCTGACGAACCCGTGTCCGGCGGACATCGGGGGCGCCCTACTGGGGCGACGCTCACGTAGTGCCGCATGTTTAGTGGATATTTTCCATCCTTAAAAGTATCCGCAAACCCCTGTGCGGACAGCCATTCCCTGCGCCTTCCTGCGTTCGCCATCCCAGATTTCTCATTCCACCCAAGAGCATAGGGTGTCGCCCGGCTTTGGCCCTGCACCCTTCCCCTCCTTCTCTACTTTATTTTTCTGCACAGAATTCATCACAATCGGAAAAATCATTTTTTTACGCCTGTATTTGCGGATTATGGCCTTACTCTCTTGGCTCGTGAAGATTTGGGTGGAGGTGCGGTCTCGGGCCTCCGTGGGTCGCGTGTCCTGTTGACGGGTCTGCAGACTGCGTCCAGGTTCTCGAGGCAAATGGAAAGAAAACCACAGGCCCCGCTGGGACTCGAACCCAGGATCTCCTGTTTACAAGACAGGCGCTTTAACCTGCTAAGCCACGGAGCCAGCGGAAGGGGTGCTCATACTGCTTCCTTTAGCACAGCACCAGTCTCGCCGTCTCCAGGGCCCCGTGCAACTCCGCGGAAGATCGGTGCTTGGTGCCCAGTGCTCGGTGCTCGGTGCTCCGTGCCGGGTCCAGAAACCCGGAGCGCTGGGCTGTAGGAGCCGAGGCCGCCACCGTCTTCCTGCCCGCAAAGGCTCCGGGTCTCCGACGCGGCTGTTCGGGGTGCGCCCGGTTACGGTGTCTCTGGGTTAGGAAAGAAGGGAGCGCGTCAAGGATCCTCCGGGGTCCCGACCTCGCGTCCCAAATGCGTCCTTCGCGCATTAATCCTGTAGTCTCTGCAGTTGCACAGCCGAGGGCGGAGACCTTTCCTTCTGTCACCGGGAGGAGGAGATGCTCGGTCCACTGAAGCTGACTACCCCGTGTGGTCCCGAGTCAGGGCCATTGATACCGCGGTAAAATTCAAACTGGTTACAATCATGGGGTACTTTCAGAAACTGATAAAATGAGTATTTATGTGTTACAGAAATATTCGTATGGATTGGTAATAGATTTGAAGCTAATAACTGCTGCTTTGTTAACGCTACAGATGCTAGATTATCAGACTTGAACTTCAGATCCAAACCAGACTTTGGCGAATGACGTCCAGATACTACAAATAGAGACACAACGGGGATGCCAGGAATTGTAAAAGGAATGTTGAAGCCTACATTCGTAATCACTGTCACAGAACGGAAAGTCCAAATATGGGGAAGATGCATATGTAAATCTGAGAGTCTGAGAAAGGTAACAAGTCCAGTCAGGAGACAGATGGATCGCTCAAAACTCGGCGCTGGGCTAACTGGACCTCCATCTGGGGAAATAAAAGATTAACTCAGCATGCCACCTATGATGCTAAAATAAATTCCAATGTGGGAGCCTGGCTGAACCAGAGCGACTCCATATCGGCCAGCGAATGACCTAGAGACTGTCGCTGCCCCCATCCCTTATAAGATAACTAGTGATTAATTGTGAATTGTTGGATATCACCTTTGAAGTAGCTGGGAGGCTGGGTGGACACTAATGAACACAGAGACCACATGCCTGTAGTCTGAATGTTCTGAACATTATAATCTAAGTTGTAAATAAAACAGTGGATGAGCAATCTGCTAATCATTAGTATGTGATGGTCAAGTATGTGCTTGATAACCACTAGGTCAGAACGACTGCTTCTTTGCCTTTGTCCTCTTCCTGTAAGTTTTATGTGTAAACCCCCCTTCAGCCCTATATAAAGTGGCCTCTGTTTCTGAGCTAGTTGCCTCTCTGAGCCACTTGGCTTGGGGAGTGCCGTCTGGCCAGACTAATAAAGGTCTATTAGCCAACTTGCCTGGTGTGTTCCTTCCTGGGTGACTCTCGCTATCGGACAAGCTCCTGGAGCCTCGCTGAGCTACTGAGCCCAGCATCGTGAAGGCCTCTTGGCTGTTCACGCTCCAGGAGTAAAGGTGAGACACAAGTCTTACACCAAGGGGCACAAACTTTAAAGGAAAACAATGGAAACATGTGCATACAATTACCAGAAATGTCAACACAGAAGCTTTGTATAACTTTTGTATAGAAAACTAATTTTTTCACACAAAATGGTAGTTGGATGTAATTCACTGTATTGGAAAAAAAAATCTGCCTGGATTTACTCCCATCCCCTCAAAAAATGTGTAAACAAAGTTTAAAAAAAAAAAGCCAATCAGAGGAGGAGGAGCATATTTGTAATTCAGGTATACAGAGATGGATTTTCTTAGTACAGAGAGGCTTCTCATCATGAGAGGACAACTTACAGGGAAGTGTGCGCATGAGGAATGGGAGGAAATGACTGTAAAACACAGAGCTGGTTAATGTCGCTCTGAATGAGAGAAAATGAAACAAATGAAACTGTAGAACTGCAGAAAAACAATAATATTTATCAGATCGACAGATAAAAACAAAACTGAAAACAATTGCTGGTGTACAGTTCCTAGGCATCCTTAAAGATACTGCATTACTGTCCTGGGGCTTCTATAAAAAATTACCACAAATTTTCTATCTTAAAGCAAAAGAAATATATTTACTCATATTTTAGAGGCCAGAAGTTCAGAATCATGGCCCTGGCCTCCATCCCCACAGAGAAGGCTGAGCCGCTGGCCTGGGCCTTGTCCTGCCTTGCTTGGCTGCCTGAAGCCCTGGCTTGTGGTGCCTCATTTCTGGCGCCTCTGTGATACCCCTGTGCCTCTACTGACACTTCCTATGGCATTCAGGCAGGAGCAATCCTATTGTATTTTTGTCCATGAGTGGGCTCATGGAACAAAGGTTCAGGTACTAGGACTGGGAGGGTAAGGCGTGGAATCACCAAGCAGATTCCAGGAAGGTTTCTGGAATGCTTCCACTTTTAAAAAGTTCAGCCAGTAATTTATAAAGTTTTGAAAGACGGAATGGCAAAGGAGGAGTATTATATGTGGCTTAACAGGATTGGTTATTGGAGTGTCCTTGGATGGGCGAGGGAGGCTTCCTACTAGCGGGGATGGGCGAAGCCACAGCTGGACACAGACAGGCTCAATGCACAAGCTAGGCCTCTACTAATATGCTAGTAGACATAGGTGTGGTGCACTTGTCCCAGACAGACTTGTACCTCGCTTACACAATCCCACCCAGGGATCTTTAATGATTTCTTCTGCAAAGACTCCAGTTTTATTTTGTTTTGCCATATAAAGTAACATTCATGGTTCCAGGAGTCAGAATGTTGGTGTCTGGGGTAGGGAGGCATTTTTCAGCCTACCTCACACACTAACATCTCTGTTCCTCAACCTTCAATCTATGTGATTGAGGCAGGGAAGGAAGTGATGACAGCTCATTTTTTTCTCTGTAAACAGTGACTGATAAGAATTTTCTTGTGCATTGTGGAGTGTATAGCATGACAACCTGCAAAGAACTTACAACAGTGTCTGGGTTGCAGTAGTCTGTAGTCATCACCATCACAGTATTCTGTGCTGGTCAGGGTATTGAGGAAACAGTTCCTTGGTGATGCGGGAGGGTGAGTTAGTAATATTACAGAGAGGAGGTGATGAGCCACCCAAATGACCGCACATGCAGGATGCGATTCAGCAACTGCGCTTTCAGAAAGCTCTCAGAGTGGAACACAGATCTGGGAGGTGCTTCACTGCACCTGGGTTTATGTTGTTAAGGGCAGCTGCATGGTGATAACCCACAGCGCGGAATACCAGGGAGACAGAGAAGGTGAGGAAAGCAAAGTGCAGAAAATGCGCCTAACTGCAGCCCTGGACTTTCACGGTGCTCGGAGACAATGGGGTGCCTGTGGGAGCCTCACACAGAGCAGATTTTCACTAAGTGGACTTGCATCGTGTTGACTTCGAACCATGTGTTCCATCTATTTCTGTGGAAAAAAAAATTTAAAAATTGTCCTCTCGGACACAACTTTAAAGAGAATGTCTGCTTCCAAGGACGACAGTTGTCCTTCACCTATTACAAAAGGAAGGGTCTCAGGGCTAAATAGCTAGCAACTGCTGTCCTTGTGAGCCCTGCTGTCAGGCTGTCAACCCGCAATAAAATTGGCAGCGGTGGGATTCGAACCCACGCCCCCAAAGAAACTGGAGCCTTAATCCAGCGCCTTAGACCACTCGGCCACGCTACCCTGGTAGAAAATGGTTTCCATCGCCTTGGAGTTGTACGGGATATAGTGCTTCCTCGGCGAGATGTGCAGTCGCTGTCGGGGTCACATTGCGATCACCAGCAACTCGTGTCGAGCGTTGAGTCCTAAATGATCCTGTGAGCTGCTCCCGCAGTCTGCACATGAGGACACTTTTGAAAGTGAGTACCTCAGGGTCCCAAGAAAGCCCTTGGGTTATTCCTCCTGCCTGGGGAGGGCACACGGAAGCCTATTTATTCCCCCAGCAGTCTCTTTTCAAAGTCGGGGCATTTCCGCCCCGGCAGCCGCTTTGCTCTTTCCCGGTCCTCACTCTCTCCCCTACCCTGCCTCATCCTGCAGCTCGGGGCGGCTGCCCCTGTTCGGGCGTCCAGGTTGGCGACGGCCGCCCCCGTGTCTGTTGTCGGGAAGCTCGCGCTGTAGACCAGTCTCAGGCCTCTCGCGCCTGCGCGGCACCGTCGGACACCTGGACCCACGCGGGACGCAGCGGAAGCCGAGTCCAGGGTTCCTGGCGGAGAGTGGGTTGAAGACCGGCTGACTGCACCTTGGCTTAGTCGAGGGGGAAGTCCTGCAGGCACAGAGTGCAGCGCGCCTCAGGCGGGTGCCCAGTCAGCAGGCCAGTCAGCTACGCGAGCCCAGATGCATTAAAATCAATAACCTAATAATCAGATCTAGAGGTGCTGCAGTCTTCTTAGCGCAGCTGTCAGCGCGTCAGTCTCATAATCTCAATGTCCTGAGTTCGAGCCTCAGAGAAGGCAGTGAGGGTTTTGCCACTTGAGAAACTGTATTGCTGGGCATCTATGGTAGGAAAGAGGCTGTGTAAGGACCTCAACAACTTTGCTAATTCTTCCAGCGCTGCTTTATCGCAAGATGGTTTGGGGTTTTTTGTTTAAATTTTTGCTTTTATTAGTGGGTGTTTGCACCTCTAATGTTTCCTTGTGAGGAGGTAGGGCACGGACAGGACATCTCTCAGTTCTTTGCACTTCACCTTCTTCCCTCTCCTTCCTTCTCCCTCCAGCTTTTGGTTCCCTTCCCAGTTGTGAAAGATCCTACTTCCTGTTTTCTATTTCTTAACTTTTATTTTGTTCTTTAATACCTTGGGTTTCTCCCACAAGGCAAACAGCTACTTTACTTCCTCACCTAATCTTCTTAGTGTCAAATTTTCTGATATCTGAGTCTGTGGTAGAAGACTGGATTATAAATGGCTCAGGGCTGCTGTCTGAATGGTAATTTTTGTTATGCTTTCTGCTGTTGCTAATGATACCCCTGCTGCTTTTGGATATGACAAGGAAAGTTCTAGAGCACTTTTGGGAAAAACAAAATACAGAAGGGCAGAGCGAGGAGGTCAGGCGGCAGAGACCACGTGAGAGGGAAAGGGATTCTGACTCGAGCAGAGTAGGTGTTTGGGAAATGGGTACAGAGCCCGTTGCTGTGGAACTTTCCTTTTAATATGAGACAGTGACAGGAAGGAGTTTATAGTGAGGGACTTGGGGTGAGTAGAATGCCATCAGAATGGAGAGACATCCCTGCCTGGGTCTGTGACAAGAACCAGGGAAGGTTCTGTAGGGTCCAACCCAGGGACTTCAGGCCCTCCCTTCGTACCTCAGACTCCCACTGGGGGTGGCTGGGGAGGCCCCAGAGAGCCTGGGTCCTGCTTTCCTTGCTTTCAGTAATTTCTGGGGCTGCTTGTTTCGAGATACTGGGGTGTCTGAGTCACTGCCCTCAAGTGTGATTGGGAGAAACTTGATATCGCAGGATCAGAGATTTGGGTAGGTAAGGTTTGTTCCCTTAATTCACACACACACACACACACACACACACACACACACCCCTACATATGTGTCTAGATGGTGGCTCACACATGCAGAGGCTCTGATGACATGGAGACTGGCAGGAAGGATGGGGAACAAAGATGGCCTTGCTTGCACTTGTGCTTGGGGTGGGGAGGCAGGAGGGCCACTTTTGCCACGGCTGGCCCTCCCTACTGGGTTCCAAACCTCTTCAGGTACTCGAGGATGTCAGACTTCACTGTGCTGACTGGAGTCTGGTGGAACCAGCGCATGACAGGAATTCCATCTGGCCCCACCAGGAACTTCTCAAAGTTCCAGCGGATGTCGTGGACCTTCATGGGCTCCCAGAAGAGCAGCCCTGGTGACCCCAAAAGTTCAGAGGTTGGAGGGCAGGAGTTCTGGAGGACAGAAATGAAAAATGGGGATGAGTTTGTTTCTGCTTCTGTGTGGTCAGGTCTTCCCTCCCATAATGGTTTGCTCACCAGTGTATGCTGTGACACATTAATCACAGAGTTACAGACATCTCACTGTATCTTCACCAGAACACCAACTGCCAGTGAACCAGGAGTAGAATGTGTAACCATGAAAAGAAAGCACCCCCTGTCCTCTCTCTTCTTTTCCCATAGTTTCTACATGGTACTTCAGCTAAAGAACATCTAATCCTGGGCAAGTCATATTATTTCTGTAGTTTTGACATCCGTGGGTGAGAAATGATGGATTGGCTTAAAATAATAGTTCCTAGAGTTTGGAGTCTTGTGGGCCAGTAAAAAGCTCAAGAGCTATTTTCTAAAAACAAATGTAGAAGGATCAGCATTCATTCTGACAATAAGAAAAATTAAAAATTTACAATAACCACAAATTCAAAAATCAAAATATTTTTCAATAGTGGGTTTAATTCTAAAATTGATATCACTATTTTTGAGCAACAAAAAGTTAATTTATATGGCATAGACTAACAGTAATCTATCAGAATAAGTTATGGTATTCTGCATTTAATAAGCTGATATTTGTCCATCTCATCTTTTTTTTCTTTCCTTTTTCAGTTTGCTGTGGATGGGTGCAAATATCACTCAGGCCCAGCTTGGTTCTGCAGACCAGCACTCGGAGATAAGTGGACAAAGAGCGCTGGGTCATTCGGTGTGGACATTCTATGGTACTAACTCTCAGTGCCCCGGCCACTGGGCACTCTATCTTTTCCTTTCAGTTTGCTGTGGATGGGTGCAAATATCACTCAGGCCCAGCTTGGTTCTGCAGACCAGCACTCGGAGATAAGTGGACAAAGAGCGCTGGGTCATTCGGTGTGGACATTCTATGGTACTAACTCTCAGTGCCCCGGCCACTGGGCACTCTCCCATGCCCCTGTCTGCATGTGCCTCCTGATCACGTGTGAGCCCCTTCGGGAAGAAACTGTGCTAACTCGCTGTGCGGCACGATCGCAGTCCTTGTTATGATGTGATTGATGAGCATTGGCTGACTGGATCGCCACCGTGTAGTGGGGGTTAGTCTGGAACAGAGCTGTTGTACAATACGTACTTCCTCTACTTAGAGCAACACCTCGATGATGGATGCTGCCATGACCCTCAAATTTGTCTGAGAATCTCTTTCTAAGGAGTCAGTGCCAACCCTAGACAGCAGTCTCAGCTTTCAGGGCATGGTCTCCACAGCAGCTTATGTTCACCCACCTTCAGAAAGCTGAAGACCTTCTGTTCATTGGCTCCATTCACATCCCCTTTCTCAAAGAGCTGGAAATTGGGGACAAAGCCACCGCCTGGGCGCACGTATCTGCAATGGACCAGAGTGTGCCAAGAGGACCCCAGATTAGAACAAGGAGGGACAGAAGTGGCCATAAACTAAAGGAAATCAGAGACAGAGAGGGACTGTAGACCGGGAAGGTGAGGAAGGAGAACTCTGGGAAGCAGGACTTCAGGCAGTGTGTGTCACAGAGCCAACAGATTTCTAAGAAAACTGGAAGGTGACATTTTGAATGTTGGCTTCTGATTCATTTCCATTTCCTACATTCTCTCCTTCCCGTGGACTTCTTTTCCATTAGATCTTCCCCTACTCTGACTATCAGAGAACCAAAGGGAGAGAGATTATGTGAGCACCGCCAACAGGGTAAACTGATGTCCTCCAGCCCATTCACCCGGCGCCCACCCTGGCAGTTTCCAGAATGAGGGTCTCTGGGGTCCTACACAGGCACTCACTTGAGCCCAGAGAGGATCTCTGAGTTCTTTCCTGGTTCCTGTCTTCCAAATTGGTTGCAGGGAAAGCCCAATACAACAACACCCAAACTGTGCAGCTCATCCTGCAGCGCATTCAGTTCTGAGGACAGAGAATGGAGCAGCCAGGGTCAGAAGTCCAGCCTCGTGTAGGAAGGACCATGGGATTCACGCATGCATCACGTGTATCAAACAAGGACCATGAAAGGAAAGGCTCAACACCACAGGAATGGAGCAGGCAGAGCAGAAAACTGCAGCACAAGGCTCCAGACCTTCATGCAACAGACTGCTAGCTTTACCTACAGGGTCCTAGGTGTCTGCACCTCACCTTACAGGGCCTCCTACATCAGACAGACAGACAGACAGTGGTCCTGAGTGGAGTCCCATGTACTCAGGAGAGAAGCTGGACTTAAATGCTACTGCCTTAGTGGGTGGATTGGTTGATCAAAAGAAGAAAAAACGTTAAGGAAAAGGTAAACAAAATGGACATGTTTGCTTTCTTCTCCATCTCTGGCTGCACAGTGTTCGGTCCCCTCTTGTCAGTCCCCTCATCAGGACGCCAAGTCCCCATCACTCAGGGGATCCCAGGCCCCGAACTCTACGAGGCCCTCCACCACTGTCAGGAAGCTCCGAAGTGGCTGTCTGGACTTGTGCTGGAACATCAGTGTCACACGATATGCTCCCATGATCAGCCCAGACAAAAGCAACATCACTCTATGATTTGTTCTGAATACAGAAAAACATGAACACATGAACGTTCATGTGAAAATATGTGCACTGTCTGCATCACAAGAATGACCAAGCACCACCCCCACCAATGGGAGTGACAACGCCTCTTTAGTCGTTACAGCTGTAGCCCCGCCTTGCATCCCTGACTTTAGATATGACTTGCTGTGATCACAGGATCACCCCATTTCCTTAGTTCCTGACAGTAGCCACCCTGGGGTGGACTAACGGTCAACTTGGAGTGCCCAGTTGAACTGAGTCAGCATGGTTCTGGGCATGGAAGACCCACCTGAGGATTGTTGCCAAGGGCATAAAAGGAGACCTGGAGGGGAAGACATGTGAGCTGTTGATTTTCATGGAGAAACTAGTCCTCTGGCTGGACTTGTGGAGGACAGTGCCTTGGGCTCTAGACCTTTAGCTGGATTTGTATGGGACACTGCCATGGGATCCAGGCCCTTGGCTGGACTCTTCAGGCCTGTGGTGTGTGAACAGATTTCTTGCACTCCTCTGCATTTGACTTTTTGGGTGAATATTATAAAATAAATTATGTGTTCTGTATTAAATCTATTCTCTTACAAACCCTGACTACAACATAACCCACAGCAAACCCTCAATTCCTTAAGGCCCTCCCCAAATCCACTCAGTGCAAGCTCAGACTCTAGTGAGTCCTTCCCAGCACTTTCTGAGATGCCCCATTCCCTACAATGTACATTTTCCTAATGGCATTGAGCAGCAAATTTGACCAGTTTAACTGGGGGTGGGTGGGAATATTTCCTAGTGGCCTTTGACCACTCCTTCTCAGATCTGGTGACAATTCTGGAATCAAAGGAGCAGTAGCAAGATTTAGGGTGACAATGTCATGTCATCACTTACACCACTTCTCACCCTAAGGACACATTAGTAAAACCTCCTGGAATTGGAATACAGTATCTGGCAGTGCTGGGTCCTAAAGAGTCAGGCCTTGTGCTCCTACCGGGATACTGGGCAGTCAGGCCGCAGTATGTGGCCACATTGACGAAAAGGATGTGCTTGCCCGAGTATTGCGTGAACTGAATGTACTCCTGGCCGGTGAGGGTCTGGGCTCCATACTCGTAAATGGTGCCTGGCACAGCTTTTTTGCAATACATCTGGAACAGAACAAAAGCAACTATAATGAGGAAGGCAGACGAGCAGCAATTGCAAATGCTGTAGAGCTTTTGAAGTACTCAAGGACACTTGGTGTAATATCTTCAAATTGTAAGAGATGAAGGGACCTTTTCAAAGAAAAGTTTTAGTTAGAGCTGATGCCACAACCAGAATCCATGTCTTCTGGTTTACATGTAGTCTTATGTGTGTAGCAGGACAGGCACTTCCTAACACAGCCCACACCTGGAGGGTGGCAGGAGTCGCCTCCATCCATGTAGACATTGCCTGCCCTCTCTCCAGGCCTTACACCCCACCCTAGCCATCCTATTCCTTCCCAAATAATCTTAGTAGGTTTTTGAGGTTTCTCACAACATTAATCTACAGGAATTCCTGGTCTGTATGTCCTTTACACTTATTCCTCTCACCAAGGCCAGGCCCCCACTTGCTCCTTCTCTAATCCCTGTAAAGGGCCTTTAAAGGAGTGTCCAAAGGGTGCTCCCCAGTACCTGCAAATCCCATCCTTGGTGCTCTCTTCTCCTACCCCTGTACTGGGGAGAAACAGCCCAGATGGCTTGTGAATTGGGGACTGTCAAATAGCAAAGATGGGTAAAACCTTTTACTATGAGCACAAGGAGAGAAAAGGCAGGCAGGACTGGGAATAAAAGGCTAAGATCTGACATCTGCTAAGGGCCAGGTTCCTGGCAACATGGAGAAGTCAGAGTTGCACAGCACTTTAAAGCAGGCCTCACAGGCTCACAGTGCAGAAATCCTATCTCATCCCGGGAAGGCACGATCAGTGGGTATGGTGGAGCAGCGAGCTCACGTCACATTCTGTGAGTTCTGTCAACAGGACACCAGGCAGGGCCTTCTTTTTCACCACATTTGGAGAGCAGGCCACTCCCCTGTGCATCAGAGCACTGCACACAGCTGCGCGTCATGCTGATTCAGGTACAGGGAAACACCAGCCTGGGAAACTCCCTGTGATGGGTTTGTCCTTGGCCTGCAGCCTATCTGCCTCTGTGCCACGTTCTCTCTACGCTAGATAAATTCTAGCACCTGCCTTTCTGGCTGCCTCAGTGAAATGTCGCGGAAATCATCCTGCCAGCTGCCTTTGGGCCTCTGTTCTCCTCGCCTTTTTGCCACCTGAGCTCTGGGTGCAGTAACCTCAAGTTTGTTTGCCAAACTTGGGGCCCCGCGCTCAGGGAGACAGAAGCCGAGCCACGGGGAGGCTGCGTCGGAGCGACCTGCCCGGGTTTTAAGGCTGAAGCCTGTGGCGCCCAGGACGCGCGAGGGCAGCGTTCGGCTGCGATCCGGAGGAGCAAACCGCTCAGCGCAGCGCCCGTCCCCAGAGCCCTCGTCGGGGCCAGAGAACGGGCAAGGGCCCCGGACGCAGGCCACCGCGGGGTGCGGTAGACAGTCCGCTGAGGCAGGAGAGTCTCTGCCGTGGACAGCCAGGCAGCAGGGCGCGAAGGGCGGGCAGGCGGTCGCATCCTTCCAGGAGCGGCGAGGGGCCCTAGCCGGACCGGGCGACGCTCACCTTCATCTCCTGCGCGTTTGGGGTGTCCTGCGCTAGGCCCAGAAGGAACAGCGGGAGGAGGCCGAGCCCTGCGACGGAGAGCGGAGGGTGCATGGCTGAGCTGCGCTTGGGCAAGGGTTTGGCGGGCGCGACACTTAGGGGCTCGCGGGCTCAGGCGCCGGCCAATCGGGGACGGCTTCTTCTGGCCCCGCCTACCTATGCCCCGCCCACTCGGCCGCAGACCTGGTGACCCCATGTGGCCGGGTCAGACCCTGTCCGAACCTCCTCGATCCCCGGGTTCGCACCGTGGAAGAAGACCAGGACGCGAGATCAGTGACTCGGAAACTCTAGAACTCTCCTGTCAGGTATTTCAGACTCTGCAGTCAGATATGGAAAGGAAGGGGCCCAGAGAGTGGAGGGGCGGGCTGTCCAGTCCCCCGCCGGTCCTCGCTGTCAGGGCGCGCTGGGCGCTGGGGGAAGCCGGGAGGCCTACTGCTCGCCGCCTCTCGCTGCCCAGGGTCCGTGCCGGAGAAGCTCCCAGGTTTCCCCGGCCACGACTGCAAGTCCCTGGACCATGGCTGGATGAGCAGTTCGTAGAAGCCAATGGTGCTGGGGCATTTGATCCAAGAGGCAGGATGGGGAGAAGACAGAGAAGAAACAAGTGAAGAAATAGGATGAATAAAGCACGACTAGGCAGGAAGGGGGCACCGAAATGTGCAGGTTCCCTTCTTGCTGTGTGCTAGGCTTGCTTGGCATGCTGTCTCACTTAATCATCACTAAAATAACCACAAGTTTAATATTCTCTCCATTTCATAAATAATGACATCAATACACAGTAAAAATAAATATTTACCCAAATTTGCAGTCATATAATATGTGATTCTGGGACTGGCCCTCAAGTGTGTTCTCTGGCCACCCCACAGCCCCCTGTCTGCAGTGGGTGGACAATGGTCCCCACAGATATCCGGTGTTGATCCCTGGCCTTGAAAATGTTATCTTATATGGCAAAGAATTTGCAGATGAGATTAAGATAAAGATTTGAGAAGGAGGATTACTCTGGATTATCTGCGGGGCCCTGGATGCAATCACAGGCTTCCTGGGGGGGGCAGACTCTGCAACACACAAGAAGGTGACAGTGGGGTGGGGCTGGGAACTTCTAGACAGGGGTCACAGCCTTTCCCAGCCTTTCCTCCCTCTCATTTATTTTTGAAGTACTGGAGATTTGACTCAAGGCCTTCATGCTGAGGTACCTCCCCAGAATTTTTTATTTATTTGCTTATATTTATTTGAGACTGGGTCTCATTTATTTGAGACTGGGTCCAGGCTGGATTTGAACTTGTGATCCTGCTGCCTTAGCTTGCTAGAATGCTAGGATTATAGGCATGCCCCATTATAATTTATTTTTTAAATGGTCAAAATTATATGTATGTGTCAGGTGCAATCTATTCTTTTGAAGTACACAGACAATGTAAAATGACTAAATCTAACTAACATGCATTAATTCGTGTGTTACCATTTTTGCAGTGAGAACACTTTACATGCACTTCCTCAGCAGTTTTTCCAAGAATACAGTGTCATTAACTATAGTCCCCCAGTTGCACAGTGTATCTCCTGTATTTCTGCTTAAAGCCTGACCTTTTGTTGCATCCTCTGACCAACCTGCTCCAAGCTTCACCATAGCCACCCTGGGAAGGTGGAGACAGAATTAGAGATGCCTTGGGGACAAAGGACAGGTGCAGTCCTGGTTCCCATTAGAAGTATGGCCTGCCACCTTTTCCACTCCAAAAACAAACTTATGGACCCCAAAAGTCAGGTGCATCATTAAATCAAGATGCCTCCACCACAATGTCTCCAAGAATAAGCTGTATGAGAAAACATGGGGATCCTCACTAAAGGACAGATGACAGCAAACTCCCAGCCTTTCGCCTGTCAGTCACCACAGGGATGATCTGTGTTTTCTTCTGAGGCAGTTGGGGACTTGCACGCTTCTTTTGCTAAAAACCAACAACAGCAACAAACAGTGACTCTGCACTGGGCCTGCAGCTGTCCAGAGTAACTACACGCAAGGCAGAGCTTGATGTCCTTGCTTCATCCTGTAGCTGTCTCCTTTATTATTCAAAGCTTTGGGTCCAGTTCCCACTCAGCTCTGATGAGTTAATCATTAGGCAGTGCCTGTCTGAACCTGGAGACATGAGGTTAATTAGCCCCAAACTTTCAGAACCTATTTTATGCCCTCCAAGACTGGAACAGATGCCTGAAAGTCTCCAGTCATTTCCTGAACCTGCAGTCACCATGGGCTTGAGCACAGTCTCCTCAGAGTGGAGATGGCCCTGGCAGAGGCAGCCACCTCAGGAGACCACCTGTCTCCACAGCGAGAAGGATTTCAAGGAAGCTACAAACCAGAACTAAGACAGTGACCAGTGGGCCCTGGCCGGCTCAGCACCCCTCTGCAGCAGACTGTTCCCCTGTGGACAGGCGGCTCTGGTTTCCTTTGTCAGAGCTGTGCCCCCTGAAGTCCTCTCCCTCTTTGCTTTCGCTGTCCTTTGCCAAGGAGCCAGTCTCGTCTTCTCCATCAGAACTGTGACCCTTCGACTTTTCTCCTCCTCAAACTAACATCCCTTCTTATTCTCTTTAACTTTCCAATTGAAGTTTGGCTATACATCCCTGGTGTTGCCTCATGTTAATTTCCATGGTCAATGAAGCAAGGAGCCATGATAGCCAGAGACCTACACTCTACTCTGCTTCTATGAGATCAATCCTTTGAAAATTTGTGTACTGTGTTTACCCCAAAATAAGACAGAGTCTTATATTAATTTTTGATCCAAAAGATGGAATAGGTTTCTTTTCAGGGGCTATCTTATTTTTTTGTATATAAAAATCTACATTTATTCAAATATAGTTATGTCATCTTCTGGAACATTGTCATAACTCTCAAACGCCAAATTCTGGCCTGGATTTCTTGTGACTCCATTTCCTGTAGAACCCAACCTCTCACATCCATCACTAGACTGGAGCACTTCTTCTCCAAGAAGCCAGTGCACTTTCATAGTGCACTGGCAACAGCTGTCTGGTTTTTATCACATTCATTCTTCACCTGAGACACTACCTCTTGCAGGCTGGGCTTCACGTTTCCATTAAATCAAGTGTTAATCAAAGATTTATGAGATAGGAGCGGCAACAAAAGGGATGACAATTAAGAATGATGGTCCATGCAAAAGTGACAAAAAACTGCAGGCACAAAAATTCAGAAAACTTTTATTTCATGTGAGTGCTTTGGGTATGTGCATTATAATATATGATGTATTGAATTATGAAAATTTGTTTTAGGCACAGCCATGTCCATTTGTTACCAAGTGGGAATGTAATTCATGGGTTGTTGGTCACTTGGTAGTAAGTCTTGAATCCATCTTTTTATAGGCAAACAGTGGGCATCCAAAGGGGCCCACTTGGGTATTTACAAATGTAATTTATAAGTAATTTAAGTATTAATGTCAATAATATTATTTATATTTAATTATATATCAAGAGTATTATAATTCAACAGTCTACCATGTATTGCAATGGATGTACTAAACGCATCCATCTGGCTAATGATCTCATGGGGCTTATTTTAGGGTAGGGTTTATATTACAAGCATCCTAAAAATCACTCTAGGTCTTATTTTCTGACTAGGTCTTATTTTCAGAGAATACAGTATAAAATCTGAAGAGCCAACACTGTGACTCACTTGGTGGGAACCAGTGTCTCCAAAGAAGCTACGACGGCCATGGCACCTCAGGCACCTTGATCTGGACTACGTGGTGTGAGGGGCAGATCACAGCAGCACCAACCTGTTGCAGAATTCTCTTTCCTCCTCCTCCTCCCCACTCTCCTTTTCCTTCTCCTTTTCTTCTTCCTCCCCTGTCCTCCCTCTTTCTCTCTGTGTCTCTCTGGCTCTCTGTCTCTGGCTCTCTCTCTTCACATCCTCCCTTCTCAAGCCCTCTCTCACATCCAGTGGAAACACTGTGGGTCACCTAAATTCCTGTAGTTGGGCAATGGCACAGTGTTCTTCCCAGCTCTCCTCCAGCCCACTGAGGCAGAACTAATGGAAGAACCGCCTCCTGGAGCACACACTGTCCCTCTCCACCTCCCATTTAACCTCCAGAAAGCATTTTTTTTTTTTTAACCCAGAGGCTCCACACTGAGCTATATCCCTCCGTCCTTTTTCGTGTTTCCTGTGAGTCACTAAGTTGCCTGGCTGGGCTACAATTTGCGATCTTCTTGTCTCTGGGGTGCTGGGATTAAAGGCATTCCCCACAATGCCCAACTTCCACCATGTTGAAGATCATAAAGTGTTTATAATTGAGGCATTTTAAAATTGAGAAGTGGCAAACCTCCTGGTTCAGCCTAGACCCAGATGGGTTTTTCTGCTTTGATGCATGACTCAGGACACAAATATTTCCACCAAAATCTGGTTTGGTAAAATTTGTTAAAATTGCATTCCTTGTCCTTGCAGTGGGAATTCCTTGTCCTCTCCAATCAAATGATGCACATAAGTGCACACACACACACACACACACACACACACATGAGGGTGCTTCAACCCACAATGGACCACGTATATAAGAGTGGTCCCAGAGGCCCTGTTGCCTCGTGACATCACTGCTATGCTAGCTCAGTCAGTGGACTGCACGAAGTTCCTGCAGGCAGCAGTCAGAAAGTGCAACAAAGATGGATTTATAACAGCGAGGAAGGAGACTCTGAGCAGAGTCCAGGAAAGCCACCTCCTCCACCTGAGCCTCAGCTACTCCATCATGACTCAGACTGCTTACTTTGGTTCAGGCCTGTGCTAATAGTGGAGATGAACCACTTGTCTTCTTTGTTTTTTAAATTACCTGATGGAGTTCCTACACCTGTCTGGAATTTACAGAAAGCAACTTACTCAAGGTCACAGCCCTTATGAAGGACTGGCAAATTCACGTACCTTGTTTTTGAGATGGGAGCTCAGGGGAATCAGACCTGCCCTCTACTCCGGGTGTCTGGGTGCTCTGGGTGGGCCGGGTGGAATTGCCAGCAGCTCCTCCTTCCAGCTTAGAGGCCTCCCCAGAAGAAACCGGGCTAACAAACCACTCAGTCTTCCAGGACAGCTTGGTCACGTCCAGGCTCCCTGGGCAGCAGATTGTCCTGAGAACTAGCCGGTGCAGTGGGGATGTGGGAGAAGCTTAGGACCTGAGACAGAGTTCCTCATCATCTGCGTATGGGGAAGGGGTTCAGGGAACAAGCTACAGACCCGAGTATGGCTTGGTGTCTCTGTGAGCTGTCTCCCCAGAGCCTGCCGGGAGCCGAGTGCTTTCTGTGGCTCCAAAGCATCAGGAACAGACAGTACACATTGACACCCACCTTGTAGCCACCATGTAGTGCATGCTTTGTGGCACCACGATGAAGGCTGCCAGCTATTGAGTCTGTGACATCTGGTTCCTCCAACCTGTGCTTTCTGGCTGTAGTGGACTGGAGGCACAACTGTGTTTTGTTTTGTTGGTTTAAATTAACAAGAAAATCCTTACACAGTCTAATGATGACAAAGTCATAAGTTTAAGATTTGAACTCAACTTTTTGAAATGAGATCCCAGTGGGAAAAATATGAATCATTTTTGAAATTCAAGGAGCTAATAATCTGATGGGGAATATCCAAGTTTTTGAGCATCCAAACAATGTATGCATTAAACATTACCTGTGTGGTAAGGGGAGGGAAAGTGGAGGTGGGAAACAAAGGATCTAGGTGGTAAGAGAGGTGTCACCAGAAAACGGGTCCTGACCACCGAGGAATCGGCCTTCTCGAGCCTCCTCAAACCTGTGGGCATTAGAACTGTGAATACAGTGAAGACATACAGGCGGCTGGGAAGCAGTCTACAGAGTGCACTGTAGAGTGGGTCTAGAGAGATTTAGGCCTCTGGGAGAAGGTGTGCAGTGCTCCAGAGGCACCTGCCTGGAAGGGAAACATATATATCTCAGTCAATCCTGGGAGCCAGGAACAGGGGTGGTTACGATGCTTATCAGGGCTTACTTGGATGTGTGACTTTGGAATTGCAAACATGTCTTTCTGGCCTTTTGAGGTGGTCATTGTTCCCTCAGGGGCCTTAATCCCTCCAGAAATTTAGAAAGATTTATAAAACAGACGTTCTTAGTTTACACCAGGTCCCAGCCCAAAATGGGAGGGTCTTTATAAAATGTTTCCTTCCTGATATCCCCTTGTAGAAACAGAAGGCCTGTGTCTTTATCTGAGCTCTAACAAATGATCATATGTGTATTATGTGTTGAAGTCATTGCTTCTATATTTAATGCTAACTAGCAAAGTATGGTATTCTGGATTCCCCATTGTCCCGCTAGTGTCTGCCTACCTGCCCATCTCTGTAGACAAAGTACAGACAAGGTGGAGGGAGATTGGTGAGGACTGAATATGTCATTTATGTGAGAAACCGAGCAATTCCCCAGGTTCCAGGTCTGCACTTATGAATTAATTTGTTTCAAGGACTCTGAGCAGTAGCTGGAAACTGCTGCTGACCAGGCAGGGATTTGTACCTGTAAGAGACAAAAGATTTTACTCTTATGTCTCACCTCCATGGTTCTTCTTGGGACTTTAGGCTTCTGGGAAATTAAGAGGAGTGCTTGCAACTTCCTATAGATTTATTACTATTTCAGAATTAAAAGTTCAAAAAAAAAGGTATTTCCTTTTCTCAGGCACTGTGTGCAGACTGGGAGATCACCCACAGGAAGCTGGCAATGGTATCACCCCTTCATGTGCTCCAGCCACCTACCTGCACCCAGGCTGGGACCCCACTCCTTTCAACTGGTGCCAATCTGATAAGTGCAGATGGTGTCTCTTCTTATTTGTACTTCTTTGGTCATCGGTGGGAGAGAACATTGCATCCTACAATAGATGCCATCTGGTTTCCTGACTGGTGTCCATCTCCTGTGGGTCTTGCCACTGGGATCTGGCCAGAGGCATGTATCTGGCCCATGCCCATCTGGATTCATCCTCCTGCCTACCATTAGGAGTATGAGTTTGAGGAAAGCCCTTAAGTATGGAAAAGGGAGTTTATTAACAGTTTGGGCAAATTTCACAGATACACTCCAGTCTGTGGGCAGACAGAACAAATGCAGGAACTGTGCACCTGTGGGTTTGGCCAGGCTGTGGCCACCTTGCCCAGGAAAATGTTGCAAGTCTGGTTCTATGGAAACTTTCTCCTTGCCAGGGTCAGGGTGGCCACGTTGTGATGAAGACAGAGAAACAGCCCAGGTGGGACAGTCTCGTCTTGGAGACTGATCCCAGCTCTCACTGAGTCAGGTTTCTTTCTGACTTAAGCCGTGAAAGCACCTGTACAATGAATACACCAATGTGCCGTTCTTCCTGTACTGTGGACATTGACCTCTCCTGCATCCTCCCAACTCTCAGACAGATTCTAGGGGTCCATCCTCTGATATTGTGGAAGCTCAGAATAATATAGCAGAATAACAGCACTTTTTCTCTTTCTGCCACGGCCTTATGCTATCCTGCTGAGTTCACTGCAGCCCAAACCTGGTGTCAGGACATCCAAGAGCCTGCATCTGCAGCCAGGTGTCCCGCCACTTAGGAGAGCAGCAATGGTCTTCAAGAACCTGGGAGGGCTTGACCCTGTCAGGCAGGCAGTTAGACATCTATAAGCCTGAGGGACAAAGCGGGGAAGGGGTCCAAAACAGCATATGCTGCCAGTAGAGAACAAAGACTTCAGTGTATAAAACACTCGTGATCATTTCTTAGCTCTCAGACCCAAAGTGATGTCACAGAGCACAGTGATTTTCAGGGTTCCGTGCTGTCCTCCTGGTATCCAACCACCAGCCACTAACTCCAGAAAAGGCACACAGCATTCCTGGAGGCATAGCTACTGACTAGTGATACCAGGGAAGGAGTTCTTTGAAGACCCTCCTGCCTTTGGCTGGAACCTGGTTTAAATTGAGAACTTATCTTTGTAGGTTTCCTACACAATGTCTCAGAGAAATCACTGACCACCTAAAAAGAACAGGAAGTTACTTTACAACTCCAAGGTTACTTGAAAGTAAAAATACCCATAAGCGTTGTAATTATCCCAGTTCCCTGAGCCTAGGAGCAGCTCTTATGTGCATAAAAGGATGTCCAAACTCAAGCTCAGTGTGCCTGCCTTCTTGCTCAAGGCACAACTCAGTTTTTCTCTCTCTCTCTCTCAATCTCTCTCTCTCTCTCTCTCTCTCTCTCTCTCTCTCTCTCTCTCTCCTCTCACTCCCTCTCTTTTTTCTCTCCCTTCCTCACTCCCTCTCTCTCTTTTTTTTCTCTCTCTCCCTCCCTCTCTCTTTTACAGCAGTTTCTACCCAGACTTCTGCATGCCTGTGTCTTGACTGAATTCCTTCATCAAGGGAACAAAGAGCCCAAGACCAAGGAGTGGCTGCGTCAGGACTCTCTGGGTCTTCGCCACACCTGTGTGGCTGAGAACCTGTGGAGGTGGCGTGGGCGAGGCTGTGCTTGTTCTCTTCCTCAGCGGCCCTGCTGTTGGCCAGTCAGTGTCGCCTCTGCATAGATATCAAGCCCTCAGGCTGTAGCCTGGTGGCCTGCTATAGTCATGACTCAGTGGCTGCCAGCCTCCTGTCTGGTCCCTCTCCTTCTCCTTCTGGCTGGCTTGGTGCAGCCAGACCCCACGCCGCAGAAGATGAAGGTGGGTGAGCTCCTGTGGGAAGGTGCTGGGGTGGGCAGGAGCAATCTTCCTTCTCCTGCTCTGGCTCCTGCTTCTTGCTCCTTCCTGTAGGATTCCAATATCATCTTGCTTTCTCTCTGTGTCACCTGTCAGGGTGCATGGGTCCCACAGGGGAGACGAGGAACTGCCTCACCCTCCCCAGGGGATGGGGCAGGTTTGCTGATTTCCATCACAGAAGAATGTTCTCAGGAAACATCAGTAAGAGGCTTATTAGGCAGAATTAAAAAGCATTAAAAGAAAATCGAGTGTGGGCTGGGGAAGGCAGGCATGTGTTCCAAGTGGGCACATCTGAGGGGCTTGGTGGAAACCTGCAGAGTTAATGACTGGAGAGTGGGTTCCCTGTACAGATGAAGGACGATAGCTTGTCCAGCAGGGGAGGTTGACGGCCATGACAAGTGACAGCTGCAGCTACTGCAGGGAAAGGCTCGCTTTGCAGGTGAAAAGGGAGTGGTCCAGGCTCACTGTGACTTCAAGGATCTTTTTAAGAAAGTTTTGACTGGATTTGTGTCTTCAACCTGTAGCTTTTACTAAAAGTACAATTTTAAAATTACAATTTTCCTTGTCTCCTTTCTAGCTGCCTTATTTTCCTATCCTGACTCATTTGTCCCCTAGGCCTCTCCTCTTCTACTCAGATCTTCCTCTCTCCCATGAATAGTTGTCACTTGAGCTGGATATGGGCAGTGATGGAAGGGTCTCCCCACCATTGTCCTCCTCTCCTCCCCCACCAAGAAATAGCTCCCTGCAGGCATCAGTACCATGCAGCTCTGGATCACAGAGCAGGATCACTGTGGCATCAGAGGTGTGGGGACTGTGACTTGGGTAGGCTGCAATGACTCACTCAACTCAGACTGAGGAAGGGCTTCTTGCTGGTTTACAGACACCTAGCAAGAAGAAAAACCCTTAATGTGCAAGACTTAGGGATAAAATAACAGTTATCAGAGTAGCGTAAAATATTTGGAAAGAATAGTCAGGGGGTTAAAACAACTGGACTCAATGCCAGGTATCTTGGAATGGCCTCAGATCTGTTCTGTTTATGACTGAGTTCCTTTCTCCATAAAATGTCCCAAGAAGGGGCATCCCAGGAATGTACCCGTCAGCATGGAGAGAAAAGGAGTCCTGATGCTTGTTCCTCTCTTGGACCCACCCTGGAGACAGGAGGACTGAAATGGGCCCTGCTGGGAGAGGAATCTAACAGAACTACAGTTTTAATTTGGGGTAGAACTTATTTCCATTGTGTGATATCTGCTCAGCTATGTCAGGGAGACACAGAGCTAATGGCAGAGAGGCTCCAAGACACCTGGTGGACGTTTGTGTGGCACTTGGTTGCTGCCTGGTGGAGTGGGTTTCATTTTTGCTTTCGGTCCCTTAGACAACTTTTGTTTGTCTTCTGAGTCTGAGTTCACACCTGTAGTATTCTGAGTCATTTGCGAGGTTCCACAGTTGCTGGGAACTGCTGCTCCTGATGTTATCATCCTGAAATGCCTTCCAGATGGACTGTTACAAAGACGTGAAAGGCACCATCTTCAGTCACGAGGCCATCACCCTCCCCAGGAGGAAGCGTGTCCAGTTCTCACAGTACGCAGGCAAGCACGTCCTCTTCGTCAATGTGGCCACCTATTGCGGCCTGACTGCCCAGTATCCTGGTAAGGCTGGACCTCACGTCTGTGGGACTGATTTTTCCAGCTGGTTATGCCCCAAACCATGCCTGTAATTATATTGTAATCTAACACTCAAGAGTTTAGTGACTTCATTCATGATGTCAGGTCAGCAGAATGTAGACCACAGCATGAAGCAGGCCGGCCTGGCTTCAACACACGATGCACTGAACTGGATACTTGTGTGCTTCACATATTTGAAAATAAGAACTTCTTTTGTGTTTTTAATTACATTACGTCTGGCAGAAGAAATATATTCACAAGCTCACAATTCAGATGAACAAAAAGACTTGGAGTGAAAAGTCTTTTCACCTCCCAACTTTTATACATCCGATACCATGTTTATAAAATACAGATTTTTCTTCCTGTTTTCCCCAGTTCATAACATACCATAAATACGATTTTCTGTCTTGTGTTTTTAAATGAATATTTCAAGTTCAGTCTGTCCTCATTCTTTAAGACTGACTCATACTCAGTGGCCCATGATTCATTTTCTCATCTGTAGAGAGGTACCGTTCCCTGTGCACACAGCAGATGAGGGACCAAGGCCCAGCTCCCATTCTGCCTCTGCTCTGTAGTGGGGATGAACTGCAGGGCTGAGGACAGGAGGGGACTCAGGCTCTGAGGATCACGTAGACGCTGGAAAATGGCCTCTACTGTGCACACAAGACTAAATGGAGTTGCCGGCTGGCTGAACTGCTGTGTGGCTGGACTGGTTCTGCCAAAGGACCAAGGCTTCGAGCCTGAAAGGTCACCAAGCAGGTGGCTCTCAGTGTCCCGGGGAGGCAGCGGCTGAAGCTGCTGTTCTGCTTCATGGCCCAGACTGCCAAGTAGACGCGGCACTGAAGGGAGAGGATGACCGGTTTGGGGCCCTGGCTTCTCCCTGCGTGCAATGTGTGGTGCCCATGAGAGGTTCAGTGTCTGAGCTCTGTCTCCTCCTTTAGAGAAGTGAGGTCCAGTCAATCAGAAACCACCAGGGTTGAATGTCCGGTGCTGAGGGTCCCCTGGCTTTGCCCGATGGTGACTGGGCTCCTCCCAGAGGAAGGGGTCTGGAGCCACTGTAACCTGGGTGTCCCAGTGCTCGATCCAGGAGTCCTCAGTGACTCAGAGTGGCAGCAGTGCTTGTGGCACAGGGCTCTGAGAGGGGTCTAGACACCTGCAGTCGCACTGCAACTTGCAGGCACCCTGTCCCTTTAGGGACTCTGTCCTGCAGCAATGAACACCCCAGGGTCTTTTTCCACACAGAGCACATCTGGGAAGTCATGGCTCACCTGTCCCTTTTTCCACTGCAGAGCTGAATGCGCTCCAGGAAGAGCTGAAGCCCTTTGGCCTGGTGGTACTGGGTTTTCCCTGCAACCAGTTTGGAAAGCAGGAGCCAGGAGACAATAGCGAGATCCTGCCTGGGCTTAAGTGAGTGGCTCCCATGTGCCTTCCCTGTTCCCAGGACCTCCCAGTGGGGTGGAGCTGAGTTCAACCTGGGCCTGCCTCCTCAAGAGCCTGCAGTGTCCAGAGAAGCTGCACTGTGGATGGCCAAGGCCTGGCTGACCTCTGGGAAAGCCATGGGGGGATGGGACAGCAGTGCCTGGACAGAAGCTGGAAATGCAAGGGGCACAGACAGGCAGGGACAGCAGGGCCAAAGTCCATGATGACCTGACCCTCTTGCTCTCTCTTCCCTCCCACTCACTGGTCACACTCTTTCTGCCACTTGGGGCTTCTGATGTGGCCTTCGATGCAGGCACATCCGTCCAGGGGGAGGATTTGTACCTAATTTCCAGCTTTTTGAGAAAGGGGACGTGAATGGTGAAAAGGAACAGAAAATCTTCACCTTCCTGAAGGTGAGTGATCAGTGGCCTAAGCTGCCTCCTTTTCTCAGATGTTCCTAGCACAGAACTGGTGGGGAGGCAGACCCTTGGGGGAATCTGCAGGTCAGCACAGGGACTTGGGTTTCAGGTCTATGTCCCTGGGGCTCTGCTCTGAGTGGTGGAGACAGCTGTGGGGGCAGCTGTTTGGAAGTGCTCTTCGTGAACTGGCATCCAGGCACTCACCAGGGACATCTAAGAGCCTCCAACCCCGAGGCAGGCTGAGCAATGACGGAGGAGTGAGGCAGAGCCCCTGTCATCGGTGACAGCGCAGTCATCGGGACTGGCGGGGATGACACAACATAGTAGGCACCTTTACGATCACTGAGTTGCAGACTAGAGAAAACCAGGCTGAAAGGACCCTAAAGGTCACCAGAAGGAACTGTTCCTAAATGCAGGACTGTGGTCGGAGACTAGGCCATGTTAGGGATTTACATCCATAGGAATCTGAAGAAAATAGTCTGCTAGAAAGGATTTCATAAACAAACTCATCTCAGTTGTCCACAGATTACAAGTGGATTGTCATTTATTCTTAAAATGTTCTTTTTAAAGTCATGATGGAATGATGGTGCTTAGTATTTTTCTTATTGTCCCCAAATGATATTGAAATGCTTCTGACTCATCAAACCCTCAGGCCAGGGTCGCCATCTTCTGTGTAAGCTGTTCACTTTACAGAAAGGAAATGGAGGGGTTGCAGGGCAACCTCTCTGACCACAGAGGCATGATTGTGTGCCAGCCTTGTGGAAGGGACAGCAGCAGGAAGAGACTGTAGGGAGTGGGGAAGGGGACATTATCAGGACCTCTACTGTGGGTCCTGGCCTGTGAGCCACCATAGCGCAAGGGAAATTCAAGAACAGACAGAAATGAGATTTAAGAGTGGAGAAGCTGAGTCTTGTGTCCTGGTCAGTGCTGCTAATGGCAGCAAAGACAAAGGCCCCCAAGCACATCCAGTATTTATTGAACATAATTGTGGGAAGGACTAGGGAGCAGGGTGTGCTTTGCAGTCATCTAGTAAATTATTGCCAAATACCTGGCATGATGGCTCCAGGCAAGGCTGTCAGTGAGTAAGCACTGCTTATCTTGCTAGGATCGAAGAAACTAGTACTGGGACCACATGCAATTAGAAAGTAACCTACAAGGTCAGTGAGAAGCCAAAATTCAGGGGAAAGGATTACAATTAGGGTCATGCTGACCTCAGCTGCATGTAACTTAGCAGGGCCCTGCCACTTCATAGACCAGGACAGTGACTGCCCTTAGCAAAGGAGCAATATTGGCTCAACTCCTCTAGCTGACATGCCTGTTTGAGTCACGCTGGGCTTCAATCTGACTCCTGATATAAAACAGTACAGCAGAATTAGGGAAGGCAAGAAGCACGTGCCACTCATAGCCCTCTAGTACTGGGCAGGGACGTCTGCTACAAGATCCAGCTATGATATCTACAGACAGGATCCCTGGGAGTTGGCATGGCACTGTTCAGGAGAATTTATGGGGTTTACTAGGAGTCACCAAAGTTAACTCTGTCTAGCTACAAGAGGGACTGGGAGAAATGTCCTGGGTCCTCTGGGGCAGAAGTGATGCTTCTTTTTCCTGTCTCTGCTTCAGCGCTCCTGTCCTCACCCCTCTGAACTTTTGGGCTCATTCAAACATATCTCCTGGGATCCTATCAGAGTCCACGACATCCGCTGGAACTTTGAGAAGTTCCTGGTGGGGCCAGACGGAATCCCTGTCATGCGCTGGTTCCACCAGACTCCAGTCAACATGGTGAAGTCTGACATCCTCGAGTACCTCAAGAGGTTCCAAAGCAAACAGGGAGGCTGAGGTGGGGTACAAGCCATCTTCTTCTCACCTGAAGACCCACTCTGGGAAAATCTGTTTTCTCAACACACTGTCCACCTAAACATCTCCATTCGTTGAAGTCACTCCACTCCACTCTGCCTATCAGAGTTGTATTTGGAAGGCTACTGCCGCTTCTCCTTGTAAGAGAATGTGGGTGAAGAATACAATGATGGAAACCCTGAATCCCCAGGCCCCTCCTAGGGTTAGGGTTAGGGTTAGGGTTGGGTCTTTCCTATCTATCCAAGGGAAGTCATCCTTCCTCACAACAGTCCAGCTGCCCTTCTCCCGAGGAAGAACATTCTTCCACATTCTGCCTCCTCCTCCTCCTCCTCCTCCTCTGGTTGTAGTCCCTTGATCGATCTTCCACTTCCTAACATTCTGGCCCCCTGGAATAATATGTCTTATTTCCTGAGTTTTTTAGAGCAGTCATCCAGGACAACACCCATCACTCTCTTGGGGCCTCCCTAGGGAAGGGGACAGGAGTACTGTCTTCTGCAGAGGGAGGGCAGCTCCAGGCTAGCCCGCCCAGGACTTGACTGTTTTCTCCAAAAGCTTTCCTCATCACCTGGTCTCCAGTGGACTCGGGTCATGGCTTCTGGATTTTATCTTTTGAAGGACAAGATTCCCCTCTCAGCCCACTCCTCAGCTTCACAGCCTCCCTTCAGTCTCCAATAAAATGTTTTCTGCAGCATTGAAGATCTTGGTGGTAGTTTTTAAGTTCTGTCTTGCAGATTAATTCATCTCTCCCTCCTCAGCTCACTTTGGCACTGAGTGTACTGCCTGGGCTGCTGAGCCTCCCCACATGTCCTCAAGGTCCTGTGTCTTCAGGCGCTGCCTCAGGCCTAGTCTACCCTTTCCAGAAGCTCTGCCCAGTTTCTGGTCCATGAAGGGATTCAGGCCAGAGCTTTTTGTGCTGACTGCAGCCCAATTCTCCCTCTGACAAGTCCTGCTTCCCTTCCTGTGTATTTCATTTTGTAGTCCGGATGACCATCAAATTCCAAATGCACACAAACTGCAGCCCCATCTCAGGTGGTGATGATCCTAAGACAATGCCCTAGCAAACTTCATCCTAGAGTCTGCTTTCCAGGGAACCTAGCTGAAGTTGTTGGGACAGAAAGTATTCTGGGGAAGGAGTGAAGATGAGAGTTTGAAGCTGAGCTGGTGAGGACAGCTGAGTGGAGCCTGGCCAGCCCCTAGTTCATAGCAGCACAGATGTTAGAGTCCCACTAAACAGCTGGGGGGGGGGCAGTGCCGTGGCCTGCTATGCACCAGGCAGTATAGGAGCTTGGAGCTGCAAGTGTGTGGGTGACACTGATTCCACAGCTTCTTCTAGAGGACAGGGTGCTTTGGAGAGAGACAGTGGAAGGCTGCAGGTGATGCTATGATGAAAGGCTAAGGGGGAACACACATCTCCATGGAATCCTGCAGAGAACATCTCACATCCAGAGACTCAGGCACAAAGAACTGCGCATGTGACTGCACCTAGTCACCACTTGGGCCCTCCTGTCAGGCAGCTGATGGGCTGACTTGTGGCACTCTCACAGGGGCTAGGTGAGTCAAAACCCTTATCTCCTGCTCTCATGAGGAGAATAGAAGGAGCGCAGGACAATCTGCAATGCCCCTGGCCAGGGACATCTCCATCAATTGGGAAGAACCACATGTGAAGCTGGATGACATAGGTAAGCAATTTCAATTCCTTATAGATAACTTCATTCTCTGAAAAATTCTCCTCTAGATCAATAGCCAAAACTGAGGTCAAAGAGAGCCCTAATCAGCTTCTTTACATCTGCTCTGACATGTCATTTTGAAGGTCAAATGTTCAACCATGAGTCTTTTATTGTCCCAGTGTCCTACTCCCTTACTAGAAAGAGATTTACTACTAAAATTGCCATTTTACTGGGCTCTCCTTCACAGTGGTCCTCTCTCATCCTGTAGAGTGTATTTCGTTTCCTTTTAATTGACCCACATTCACTCTGCAGAACATTTTAAAATCTAGCTTTACTAAATGTAGAACCTCACGAAAAACTTAAAAATTGGAAACAATACTTAACATATGGTAAATGGTCACATAGGAAATGGTACACATAATAAATTGTGGGCTGCAGGAATTAAACCACTTTCTAAATCTAGTCACCATTATCAGTTAAATTTTTTTCTAGTTTTAAGCTTTTATTAAAACACAAAGAATGCAATCCAACCAAGGTTTCAAGACCGAATGTTTCCTCCACTTTCAAAGCAAAAGGATAAATCTTTAGTGACATCTTTTGTATCTTTCCTTTCTTCAAGTTTGAATGTTACATTTATATGAAAATAAGAACTTACTGTAAATTGCCCTCCTTAGGAAGACTATTATTTTCTTCAAGGATCTTGGTTATCATTTACCCTAAAGACCCTGCCACATGCCATCTGTTTTCAGTCATTCTAAGCCACTATATTGACAGAGTAGATGTGTGACATTATCTTCAAACAATAGAGGATGTCAAATCTCCTTGACACGCTCATAATAACTGTGTCCTAAGTACTTCAGCAGTAATACAGCCGAGTCTAAAACCCTTCTGACTAAGCTTATTGCCATGGCAGTCTCCCATCCTTAAAAAACAGAATTTTTCAGTATGAGCCCAGAGCTTCAATACAATTATACCTCACCTGTTTACACAGTGTAACAAGGTATCTACAAAACAAACTCCAACTTCCAATTTAACCACCCTGATCAGTTGAACAAATGTAGCATCCTGCTGACACCCTGAACTGTATCTGAATTCTAATCTTTACTCCCTGAACTCACTCATGTGCCCTTTCATCATGAAAGCTGTCCTATAGTCTCAACCTGCTAAAGTATACAATAGTAAAGAAATACAAAAGACAAAATGAAGTTTTTAATATTAGGGCAAACAAAAAAAGGTATATTTCAATAAATATAACAGGAAAATATAATTTAAAAATTGTACAAATGCTTCACTAAATGTTTACAAATAGGCAATTTATGTAGAGAACTATTTTACTCATAACTTCATAATTCCACAATAGCAATTAAACAGAAAGCCTAAAGTGAAATTTCTCACACCAAATGCCTAAATGCATATGTTGCATGACCACTTTCCATGTCATTACATAAAATTTTTAATGTGATAAGTGAGCTTGCTTCTTGCTCCTTAGTCTAATCTAGGTTGGATCGATAACAATGCCACTCTAAGAGGATAGTGTATATTTAATCTGTTTCTGTGTTTTGTTTTAATAACACTTAAAAGTAGAGAATCCTGCCTCACACAGGCATATTGAAGGGAATAAAAGCAGAGATTTTAAAGCAATCTCAGCAAGTTCAGGGTACTCATTTTTAACTTTTATCCAAAATGAAGCAAGGGATACTGTATTTTTATATTTTATTTTCCTCATCAGAAGCTAGTTCCAACAACTTATCATGTAAGGCTACAGTTAATTTCAAATTATCCTTTGATGGGAGAAATGAGTTTTGGATCCATGAATTTCCTATACGTGGATCTTCTTTTGATGGAAAATAAAATTCAAGACACTAACAAATTTGTAGATGTTCACTGATAACTTTCTGCAGATGTGCATTATCAAGATCATGAACTTCACTAATGATTGTTGTTAATTTGTGGAACATGTCATAATAATTTTTAGAAACTCTGTATTTCCAACTTTCTAACTTTCATTTTTGTCTTTCAATCTTATCTGCCACTGAAAAACATGTTGCATTTTTTTCCTTGCACAGAAGTATTAAGATCATTAAAAGTACTAAAGATATCAAACAAATAAGCAAGCCTGGATATCCAATTCACATCTTTAAAAAGTTGAGCCCAAACAGGTTTCTTGCCTGGCAAAGAGTAAGAGATCATTTCGTATTTCAAACACTCTTGACAGAACTCTTCCCCCAAGACAACCACCGTACCTCAGCATGCAGTATCAGGTGCTTATGATCAGTTTCCATATTACTACATAATAAAGAGAACAATCTTGAATTTACTGCATTAGATTTTATATAATTCACAATTTTTACCATGTCAATAAGCACACTATATAGTTCAGCGGATATTTTTTTCATAGCAAGACCATCATAATAGATGAAGCACTGTGTTATTTTACATTCCAGAGCAAGTTCCTTAATCTGGGTGACCACTTTGGAATGTTTTCCTGTCATTGAAGCTGTACCATCAGAACACACTCCTACAAAAAATTTAAATTCCAAGCCACATCTGTGAACAATGTAATTCTTCACAGCTTCATACAGTTCTGAGCTAGTTGTTTGTACGCAAAGAGGCTGAAAAAAAATTCTTCCTTTATGTCATCATCATGTTCAAACCTTACATAGACTAAAAGAATTGTTAGCAACATCTCTGCACTCATCAAATTGCAATGAGAAGTATTTTGCCAACTTTATCTGCTCTATGAGTTGCTCTTCCATGCTATTAGCCAGCTCTTGAATCAGGTGAGCTATGGTGTCATTGGAAAGAGGTACTTACGCTACTTTCTTTGTTGTAGATTCACCCAACACTTCCAAGCCAACTTCTTTGATGCAGTCTTTCACGAGTGTCTCAGCAATTGTGTATGGTGTTTTGGACTTGGCGACTGGAAGTGCTACTTTATATGAAGCCCTCAGAGCCCTAATATTTGTTTGTTTTATTTTTGGTACCAGGGATTGAACTCAGGTCCGTGCGCTTGTGAGGCAGGTGCTGGAACCACTGAGCTAAATCCCCAGCCTAGAGCACTAATATTTACATGAGAAATATTGAATAGCTGCTTCAGTTGATTTTTTAATTCACTACTCTCTCAAAGAATTCTTTTGGTTGTGAACTTATTTCTTTTTTGGGGGGGGGTTTGAGACAGGGTCTCACTGTATAGTTGAAATTGACCTGGAACTCACTATGTAGCCCAGGCTGGTCTCAAACTCACAGCGATCCTCCTGCCTCATCCTCCTGAGTGCTGAGATTACAGGCATGCGCCACCACACCCGGCCTGTGAACTTATTTCTTTATGTTTTTAATATAAATGCTGCTTAACTTTTGATGGTTTCATTGCTTCATTAGCCAATACATTTCCACAAATAATACACTGTGGTTTCACCACTTCACCATCAATTACAGCTACAAAACCGAACTCAATATAAGAAGAATCGTATTTCCTAGTAAAACTTGTATGAACTCTTTTCACTTTTCTTTCTCCAGAATGATTTCTACTGCTACCACTTTTTTTTTTATTACTACTGCTCTATTCCAAGAAGGTATTTTCTTGTCAAGAAAGTCCAGTGAAGCTTTTTTCGCCATCTGCAAATTAGGATTCAATTAGTAATAGAAAATTTAATTCCCTATCTTAATGTTAAAACAATAAATTCAAAACTAGACTTGATTAAAAACAAAAAGTGATTTTAAACTGTTATAAAAATAAATAAATGCTTACATTTTTGAGTTTGAAATATAGTGGTACCAATTTGGTTCACAAACAGAATTTTGTTTTTGCTTGTGAACTCTGTATCAGGTGACAGATACAACCACAGTCATCTTTCCCATGAACATGAACATGGCCATTTTTTCCAGAATGGTGCAATGAATTAAGTTCATGAACCAAATACCACTGTACTTTTAAGTTACAGATGATGAATTAAATGTAAAACAGCAAACATTACAGTGTAATCTTAATTATGTTTACTAGTGCAACTCCCAATACAAGAGATTCACCTTGAGCAGTTAGCAACACCTAAAGTGGTCAATATTCAGTAAGATGAATCCATTAATCATGTGCTTGGATGCTGTAGCAATGCCAAGTTGTTATGTTTATTTTTCTTGTATTATTATATATTTCTATAATTTCAGTTTTTATATTCCTCTCATGGACAGGTAAAAATAATTTGCAAGCCATAACATCAATAGTCTTCAGATCATACTTTGAATACCACTAGCCTTAATCAAGGGTAACTATTTCAAAACATCAGCTCTACCTCAGAAAGACTGATTTAAAATTGTGTAGGCCTTATCTCATGTTCTCCATTCTAATCTCACAACTGAACTCTGCCTATACAAACTTGTCTTCTGGGGCCTGGGATTTAGCTCAGTGATAGCCTGTCTTGCAAGCACAAGGTCCTGAGTTCAATCCCTGTACCAAAAAACAAAAGACAAATGACTTGTCTTCTGATGAACTTTATCATCCCTCACCTCTCTTAAGTATCTTTACTTGATTTGAAATGTCCTTTACTCTTCACCCAAACTCACATAAAATTGAAACAAATTCATTTTTCTGTAGAAAGCTATCGTATATAGTATCTTCTTGATATTAGATTTCTTGTTCCAAGAAATGTGTAAAAAGAGATACTGTTCATCACCCCAAAACAATAAACAACATAGCATTCAAAGTTATAACTTCAAATCTGATGAAAAGGTGAAGTCATGCCCTTCATTAGGGAAAATACATTGAAGGAGACCAAAGTTCTTATCCATCAAGAGCACGGCAAAGAGCAATAAAGTTTTTCCCCTGCTTTCATTACATAAGATACTCAAACTCTTATCTAGTCTCCTGTGTCTGGTGAAAATGGCTAACTCTGATGGCTTTAGCATTTTGGAAGGTTGAACATGCAACCCTCTCTGAATCTGTTTCCTTTTCATTGTACTGGTCTCATGACAAAGACTACCATTTATTTGTTGACCACACTCTACAGCCTCCTCGTGAGAAGATACCCCATGGAGTGCATGGACATTTCCAAGATATGATACACAATTACCTGTCCCTATGGATTCTTTTTCACAAATTACACAGGATAAAAATCTTAGCCTGCTTTCAGGAGGGGGATTTTTAGCCACATTAGTGATAACAGAAAGATTTTCCTCAGTGTCACTACTATCTGTTCCAATGTCAATATTTTCTTCATGCTGGGCTCTGAGAGTATTTTCTAACTCTTTATTGACCTGGTCTAATTCATTTTTTCTGTGCAGTCTGCTAACAAGCTCTGCAGTTAACTGAGACAGGTCTAGCTTAGCTTCAGATCTACCTACATCTTCACATGCAGTCTGCTGCATGCCTCTGTGATAGGGCTGGTTTTGGATTATCTGAATGAGCCACAAAAATTCAGCCCACTGTGGTGAATTGTTCACTTGCATCCAGGAGAAGATCCTCTTTTGGATTTCCTCAATTTCTTCTGTAGAACTTTCACTTTGGCAAACCTGAGGCTTCCCATGGACCAACTTTAATTCTGACCAAATATTACTGATTTCTCTGATGATCTGGCTTGAAAATTCTCTCCCGTTATTGCATTGTAAGAAACTGGGTGCTCCAATAATGGCAAAAATATATAAAAGAGCATGTGTAACTTCCTGAGGCCTCTTAGATTTTAGTGACCTCAAAAAACTTAACTTCATATGAAGGCGTTGATAATGCATAATAAATTTATATTCCCCATCAGGATTCAATTGCATGTCTATGAGATCTACCTGGCACCTGGAGTTAATTTCCTTAATTGACTTTGATGTTAGAACTTTCTTGAGTTCTGAGTTTTTCTGCTGGCATGGTTTACAGAGTGTCAGATATAGCATGATAACTTCTTTTGTGATGTTCTTGTATTTAGCTTGCAATTCTTTCTCCATGCGAGTACGTCTACCATGTCCAATGCAGAGATGTGTATCATGCAGAATATCAAATAAGTCCTCACTGTGTAAATAATACTGTACTTTATCTGTTAAACTATTTATAGCCTCAGTCAGCTTCTCATTTCCTTGTGCAAGGATCAATTCAAATTTAGCCAACTGACGCTAGTCAACTGACTCTTTTGCCTTAGCTTTAGCCTCTTTCACTTTTCTTATCAATTGACAGTACTTAGCTTTAGAAAATATTTTAGTATTATTACTTTTGTTTTCCAATAATAACGCTAAGCTTTTGAAGAACTGTTATCTCATGTTTTCTGGCTCAATTTCTTCTTCATTAGCATCTAAGCTACTGAGGTTATTGTCACCCATTCTTTGAGACATCATGGAAAGCCACAAAAATGACCCTAAAATATAGAGGAAAAAAAGTAATTAGAATATGTGGGAAGTGTGGGGGGTAGCCAATAAAATGTGGGGTAAAAGTGGGCTACAGACACAAAAGGGAAAAGTGATTTTGGCTAGGAAGCCAATCTTGATGGAATGAAGGAAAGGTGAAAACAACAGCCAGGAACAAAACTGTTCTGATACAGTAAAAGAACAGAAAGCTAGAATGTGGATTTCCAGTAAAGTATCAGGATAAGCCTCAAGGAAAGCACTATCTCATGTAAAGCAGGATGTGAGTTAATGTTTGCATTTATTTACTACATAAGAATATTATTTTGGTTTAGAGAACCTTCAGCAATATGGTAATCATTTTTTTAAAGCTTCAGACCACAACCACATTTTCTATTTTATTCAGTCAGGTTGTCTGGTATATACTATCAATATTTTAAGCACCATAATATTGCTTTTCCACTTAATAGGTATATATTGGCTCTAGTTTTGGGCCTGTGAAACTACAAACCCAAAAGTCTCTGATCAAGCAAAGCATATTAAAAGAAATGTTTAGAATATTCATAATAACACAAACACTTAGAATATCCTATTACCTCAAGCCTGGCTTACTAAGTCTGAAGAAAAATATTTTGAAAACAATAAAAAAATTTTGAAATTAGTATCTTACATCCAGACAGTCTTATAACTGTCCATCAGGTAATACTGTACATACTAATTTGCATTACAAATATTGAACTAGTAAATTCAAATCACTCTTAAATGGTCATAATTACCAAACTACTTTAAGTCAATATGTTACTGTGTGTTTTGGCCTCATCTAGCTCTCAATTTCTCCAGTAAGACTCCTTAGGTCATTAAATTTAAGAGTGTGTTTCAGAAAAACAATCTATTCATAAGCCAAATTAGCACTATAACACTTTCTTTTTTAACCGCTTCACAGGTAGATCTAAGAAGATTGTAAGTTTCTAAAGAAACAGGGATCACTTAGTTCTCTAGCATCTTTCCACAGTATCTAACTTTTTTTTTTTTGCATTTTGACTACATTCAAAAGTGCTTTGATGGGCGTGGTGGCACACGCCTGGAATCCTAGCACTGGGGAGGATCGCGCTGTGAGTTGAGACCAGCCTGGGCTATATAGTGAGTTCCAGGTCAGTCTCAACTACATAGTGAGACTCTTTGTCTCAAACAACAACAACAACAACAACAAAAACAACAGTGAGTTCCAGGTCAGTCTCGCTATATAGTGAGACCCTGTCTAAAAAAACCAAAAAAACAAACTGTATTTAACTGGCAAAACTGGCAATCAGAAAAAAGAAAAAAAACGTTTGCAGAAATGTTGGTCTGTCTAGTAATTTGTATTAAGTGGGATTCATTGTGATGCCTCTGCATTCTATTGCTTCAACTATTACTTGATGGTGGCATAAAATAAAATTTAGCCTGTGGTATCAGTAATAGAAATGATAACTTTCTAAAGAAGGGGTTTATCATAATGCTGCTTCTTAAGGGATTCTTAAGGGCTTCTAGGATTTCATTCCCTTCTGCTGTGCCATCTTTTAAAATATATACATATATATAACTATGTTGACCAGTCCTGGTTATATTCTTTTTCCCTTCTCTTTGGACCATGATAAGCCCTTCAGTAGTGATTTCAGAGCTGGGTAACTTTGAAATTTAAGTGAAGAGACTACATGGAAAGCTAATTTTCATGTTTAATATAAGGTGTTCCTTAGGTGTGTTACAGATTTATTTTAATCCATTTGACTTATGCTCCAAAGTAACTGCAATTTTATGGTAATAGTACAGCAAATTATGATGAATAGTTTTACTTGTGTGTTGAAGTCATGTTCACATGCTTAAATCTGGGTATCAGAATTTAAGCAACTGTTGAAATGTATGAATGTCTCCTTAATATACTGAGTACAAAGCAAAAAAATAACAAAAAACAAAAAACAAAGAATAGGGCCGGGGATTTAGCTCAGTGGTTCTGCCACCTGCCTCGCAAGCACAAGGACCCAGGTTCGATCTCTGGTACCAAAAAAAAAAAGTGCTTCACACAAGACACATCATTTACTGGTACAAATTCCCTATGATGAATGTTATCATTATGTATATCTAAAATGTACCAATAAATGTTTTGCTAAGAACAAAACAAAACAAAAACAAAAGAGTTTCATAAAAATTGGTTGGCTAACTTTACAGTGAAATAAAAATGGTGAGTGCTTTGAATGCAGTTGAAAAGGCCATCACAGGAACAGTATTTCTTTACACACTGATCCATTTTGTGCTATGGTACTGAACTATGAGAAGGAAAAGAAGGTAAACTAGAATGTGTTTGGGGAGGAAATATAGGTCAACACAAATCAGGAGAATACGAACTCAGGTAGGTAGTAGAAGAAATATTAGTAAGTCAGATAAGCAGAGAATGGAGACTTTCTAGAAGTGTAGGAGAAAGACACTTTCTTCATCATGCTTCTGCATTTTATGAAAAGCGAACTTCTCCAGAACTAGGCCAGCCTGCACGCATGCCTCCATAGTACACCCTTCACAGACATTAGAACATGAACAGACTTAGACTTCAGAAATTGCCTTATTCAGTAGCACTTTTTAGTATTTCCAAGGCTTACATAACCATAATGTGACAAAAGCTGGGTGCACAGGCTCTAGCAATGGGATGCAAGGTCAAGTGCTCAATATTCACACACAGAGGTGTCTCCTTTTTTCATCCACAGATACTAATTAACTCTACTACAGAAGATCCACAGAAAATCTTGTGTTCAACTGTTTTGACATTATTACATGACAGCCTAACTGATCACCACTAGGAACATTACATTACATTGGTTAATTTTTCCTTCTACTACATTCAGTAGAAGTTGAAAAGGAGTGAAGTCTCTCATAACCTCAAGGACTAGACCCTTCCTTCCTGCAAGTCTTCTGCACTTTCCCAGGACTAAATCATCCTCACCATTATCTCGAAGAGTGTGTGGCTCTGGAGAGTCACATTCCATTCCATCTTCTGCAGGCTGGTGTTCAATACTCATGAACTCTTGTGCCGAATCCAGAGCAGTCATTTTTTCCACAGGAATTTCTTGCTCATAAGCATCCTGTGGAATCTGGGACAAATGGGTGCATTTAATAATCAACATAAATAATTATTGCACAACCCATAGTAAAGCCTCAAAATATTCTTGCACTGAAACAAAATGTCAGGTGAAAAGAAATTGTCTTCATTGTATTCTTAAGGGCAATGCAAGATAAACTGAGAAATGAAAATAAAAGAGAAATTTAAAAAGCCAGAGCTATACACAGAAACTGACTAATGGACAGGAGTTGATATGTACTCCTATAGTTTCTGTTTAGGGTAAAAAACAATGGAAGTACATTAAAGACATATGTCCTAAATTGAGGTAACTGAAAGAAAAGTTGAAAGTAAATGTTTGAGAGTAGGAGCAAGTTATCTAATAGTGACAAGTGATCTATTTAACACAGCAAAGAACTTTATAGTAGTAGTTCTAAACCAAAAGATTCCTTTTGTAGGGTTGGACCATTCCATACACTCACCACCAACACACTAGAGGGCTTATTTTCTGTCAGGCCAACAGGCTGTGTTGTCAGGCTTTGGATTTTTCATAAATCTAGCAGTTGATAAGTGGTACTTCTATATATGTATTTTTAACAGTGATACAATATACCTTTGTTCACTTATTTGAGTCAGAGGGTCAAAAAAAAAATTATTACTGGGCCGGGGCTTTAGCTCAGTGGCACTGAGCCTGCCTCAAAAGCTCAAGGTCAAGCCGGGTGTGATGGCACATGCCTATAATCCCAGTACTCAGGAGGCTGAAGCAGGAGGATTGCCGAGTTGGAGACCAGCATGGGCTACATAGTGAGTTCCAAAAAAAAAAAAAAAAAAAAAAAAAAAAAAAAAAAAAAAAAAAAAAAAAAAAAAAAAAAAAAAAAAAAAAATTGCTAATGTAGATATCAGGCAAACAGAAAGGAGCTTTAGAAATCCAGTTACCTTTGAGTTTATTTAAAATAAGAGGAAAAGGTCATAATGCTTTCATGCAATACATACTTGGTTCTTTAAATAAAAACTGTGACAAAAAGAATTAAGGACTGTTGAACTTGTGATTCATATAAAACACCAACATTTGGGTTGTACATAATTAAAGAAACATCGCACTTTCAAAATATTGTAATAATCAATACATAGAGGTATATCTTATGTGGGCATAGGGATGCAGTTGAGAAAAGAAAATATCACACTGGAACTATACAATTTCTCATTGAGCAAGAAAAGAAATATTGTAGCTGGGCGTGGTGGTGCATGCCTGTAATCCCAGCAGTCGGGAAGATCGCTGTGAGTTTGAGACCAGCCTGGGCTACATAGTGAGTTCCAGGTCAGTCTTGACTTCATAGTGAGACCCTGGCTCAAAAAAAAAAGAAAAAAAAAAGAAATATTGAACTTTCATACTGATTTTACAGAATTTCTATACAGTACCTTGACTTAAATCCAAGTGTAAAAGTTAAGACTCTCCTTCTCCTCCTCTGTTTTTGATGAACTGTGTGGTAAACTTTATTTTTTTAATTTTTTTGTGCCAGGGATCAAACTTGGGCCCTTCTGCTTGTGAGGCAGGCGGTGGAACCACTGAGCCAAAACCCTGGCCCCTGTATGGTAAACTTTAGATGACTTTTCCCCCTGGATTTTACCTGGGAGTGGCCTGTTTAATATTTTAGTTAAAAGAGGACAGGTATGGCACTTTTTAACTGATGTAGCCAATGTTAATATGTCTTAGGATCTCAGGAAGTTTCATATTCTTTACAGCTGATACAGCACAGGCTGGAGCTCCTGATAAGCCAGCCTCAGGCTTCTCCAGTTTATTTTGTGCATAGTTTGTGTAATGAATTCGTTCATGTTGGTCTCCAATCTCCATTTCCAATTATCCCCCATCACCATTTCTGTAAGAATAATATGAACCTTGTCTACATGGAAAATTAAATCCAGTTCACATTTTCAAGACATTTGTCTAACGTTTCCACAAACACTTGAATTAAATATAAAATGCCAAGTTCACTTTCTGAAGAATGCACATAGAACACACACAAAAAAATATGGTGTTGCATAATGTCTATATATTGTTGTGAGATCCTCCAATTAATAATCATCCATCTAGGAAGTTACAAATATTTTCATCTCTCTTTGTTACCAAATGGAAAGTCTTTCTGGTGATTTGTTGTTGTGTATCTTCACTGTAGGGCTAGTAGAACTTTGAGAGCTGTGGCTTTCCGTGGTTGTTGAAGGTGAAGATCGCCTTGATCATAGCTGGGCCAGGCCAATCTGGTAGGTATTGGGGACAGGCCCATGTAGTTTTAATTTGATGTTATTATTATTGAAGTTGAGCATCTTGGAACAGATTTAAAAGCATTTCTTAAAATGTTTGTGAAAACTGCACAGATCAATTTTTTTTTCCTCCCATATTAGAAGGGCATTTCAACCTAGTGCATTTCTGGTAAGATTAGGTTTTACCCAATATATTTTACAAATAATTTCGTTAATGTATTGAATTTGCTCGCAGGATTTTGTATGTGTTCATATTTAAACTTTTTCACATAGAATTTAATAACTTTTTTCTCGATATGGCTATTTTGTACTTTCTATTGCTTCACTGATGTGCCATGTATCAATACCATAGTTTTATCTAAAGAGACTTTTTGTTTCCTTAATGCCTAGGCTATTTCCTGTTCTTTAAAGATTTCTTTTTCCCCAGCAATTCTTTCATTTATTTACACATTTGAAGAAGTTCCTGGATTTTAACAATTTGATTTCTGTTAGCAATTAGTTATATCTCCTAAGACTGTGGGTAGAAATTCATTTTCCATTATCTTTATGTTTTGGGTTCTAGGGAGTAGTTACCTGCACTGGTAATATCTCAATGAGGTATTATCTACTCCAGTAACCCCATTAGAATTGATTCCAATGGGCAGGTTGGCCATTTCTCAGCTTCCTTGGGTTCTGATGGCTTACTTCTTTCTATTACTTTAAGTAGCAGGTGATTTTTCTTGGACTTTTACTTCACTGATTATATGGCTAAATAAGGAATACAGTGATTAGAAGATGTGAGTAACAAGTTATCTGGCCAGATATTTAAAAAATGTCCAGGTGTGATGGCACACACCTATAATCCCAGTGCACAGGGGGCTGAGGCAAGAGGGCTGCCACATGTTAGGCCAGTCTATGCTACACAGTGAATTCAAGACCAGCCTAGATGTCTCAAAAACCTGAAAAAAAAAAAAGAAAGAGAAAGAGAGAGAGAGAGAGGGAGGGAGGGAGGTCATTACCATTAATTGGAAAGTATTGCAGGGGCTGGGGATTTGGTTCAGTGGTTCTGCCACCTGCCTCAAAAACACAAGGGCCCTAGTTTGATCCCTGGTACAGAGAAAGAAAGAAAAAAATTCAACGTGAATGAGTATTTTCAATGGAAAACATTCAGTCAGAAAGTGAACTGAGATTGATTAGTAAGTTAGAGAATGCTTAAAAGAAATGTTCCTTTAATATAAAACCCAGTTTACCTCCAAATTATCCACTTCACTGTTACAATGATGTTTGATTAGGTTACACTTTCTTGAGAAATCAGGACAACCTATTCAATTCTATAGTATATTCCTTCTTTTAGCATGTGTGTAAATTTATTAGGTCTTTTTAAAATTCAGGCCTATAAAGTGCAGTTGTCACACCACGCATTATCTGTGCCAAGCCTAAAAATTAGTCAGTGTCCAACAGCAGAGCCTGATAGTAATACAAGAGGACAGCAGACGTCCTAAATGTAGTCCTATGTAGAATTGCCTAATATACTGTATAATACTGTATTTGTGTACTCAACTTACCATAACTTCACCAAAATAATGTGTACCTATAACTTCCATGATGGAGCCTTAAAGCCCTACACAGACACACAAAGGAATCACACTGTTATATTATTCTAATTTTGGAGAGTTCTCACTGACTTAGAGAACTTCTAACCATTTCTACATGTGGATCTTTGATAGTCATTTAAATATTAAGTAAACTGAAAGTGAGCATGTTAGGCAGAATAGATTCTGAATCTTCACTGCTGTGAAATGTAGGGGGCACATAATGAAAGTATGCAATAGCTAATAATCTCCTAAAGCACCCTTAAAGCCAGGAGTGGTGATGCACACCGTAATCCCAGCATTTGGAAGGCTGAGGCAGGAGGATCATGAATTTGAGGCTAGTCTGAGCTACATAGTGAATTCAAGTTCAGTCTAAAGTACATAGCAAGACCCTGTCTCAAAACAAAAGTCCTATTCTCTAGTAGCCTCTAGAATCAATCATACCTCTATGATTAATTGTAATACTGTAAGCAAAAGCTTCTCAAGAAGCCAAAAAACTACTATCTCTCTGAGACAGAAACGTACTAAATTATACTGATTTAGTATATTGCAGTGAAATCAGGCCTGAACTCTTCAACTGGGGGCTGAGTACAGACACCTGCTTCCAGTTGAGTGTGATAGTTTTCCACAAAAGAAACTATTACTCTGAAGTCTACCAACAATAGATTCATTTTGCTTTTAGTATTTTACATAAACAGAATCATGCAATAGGTATTCATTTTTGTCTGTCTTCTTTGATTAAATTATGCTTGTAATGTTCATCCTCTGTTTATGCTTGTAATGCTTCCTCTGTTGAAGCACTTCTTTAAACATCTTCATTAATACATTATCTGTATAAATACGCCACACATATTCATCCATCCCACATATTTTTTGTTTTTTTCATCCTGGGAATTGAACCAATGGCTTTGCCCATAAAAGGCACCTTTTCTAACACTGAACTATATGCCCAGACCTCATTCTACTCTTAATAGCTATTTGAATTATTTAGAGTTTTTGGTACTTATGATGAGGCTACTGTGAATATTCTTTTGTCTTTACAGTTTTCTATTGATATGTACCTTGTAGCAAGTTTGATGGATCATTGAGAATGGTAGATACTTCCAACATGGTCATAAAATTTTACTCCTGACAATAGTACATAATCATTCCAGCAGCTCAACATCCTAAAAGTTACTCGTGTCAGAACTTTTAAAACATTATGGTTAACATAAAATGGTTCCATATAGTTTTGATTTGCATTTTTCTGATTATTAATGATTGAATGATTGTTTTATAATTTTATTGACCAACTGGTTATTCTTTTTTCTTAAGAGTAGGTATCAAGTCCTTTGTTGATTTTTCCATTGGGGTAGCTTTTTTTTCTTACTGAACTGTATAATAGTACTTTACACATTCAGATGAGAGTTTGTCTGATCTGACACAGGAAAAACTGTCTATAAGATCTTATTGTTTAGAAGTTATGCTCTCTGGGGCGGGGGACACCACCTGCCTCACAAGCACAAGATTCTGAGTTTGATCCCCAGTAACCACCACCCCCCGAAAAAAAACAAGAAGTTATGCTCTCTGGACTATTAGGATTTTCAGTGTCAAACAATGACAAATGAAGCAATGGAAAGCAATTATGGCAATTCAAAACAAGGCAATCCTATTTTTAAAAAAAAGATACATGTGGTTCTACAAAAGAAGTTGCCATAAGTCAATTATAATGCAGAAATAAGTTTTTAGACTTATGTTAAAAATGTTATTCATTGATCAATTTAAATTGCAAGTCTAGAAATGAAGTTGTGACACAGTTTAAATTACTACAAAATACTGTTGATCTGTATGTCCTGATATATTTAAGCTACCTAAAGTTTATCAACTCTCCATTTATGTAAGCTGAAAATACTAAATTAATCGGCTGGGTGTGGTGGTTCATGCCTAATAATTCCAGTATTCACAAGGCTGAGGCAGGAGGACTGCCACAAATTCAAGGTCAGCCTGGACTATATAGTGAGTCTAAGGCCATCGTGAAATACACAGTGAGACCCTGTCTTACAAAAACATACAAATGAAAATAAATGACAAAATAACCAAAAGTTATCCTATATTCCTGTATTTGATAATAAAATGTTTTTTGTTTGTTATACTGTGGCTGGAATCCAATTCTTGAAGTCTCTAAACTAGCCACTACTTATACTAAATAAAGGCAATTCTGCAGTATTTTCAGTTTTCTTAAGGCCTTCATATACATACATACATACATACACACACACACACACACACACACACATATATATATGCATATGCATATATACATACATACATACATAAGCGGAACCACTGAGCTAAATTCCAGGCCCAAGGCCTTCATATATTAAAGCAGTGATGGTGAGCCTTTTCGAGACCAAATGAACAAACTGCAACCCAAAATTGACTTACTGCCAAGTGCCAACACTTGAGATTTTAAGGTAAGGAAAAACAACATATACACTAGCATCTTTTGTCTTAAAAGAAAAACACAGTAACAGAGCTTTCAGTGATACAAATGACTTTTTATTGAAAAGTAAAAGCTTGCATTTGGTGTGCTTTTGCACAATTAATGTGATCTTTGCTGTTGTATGCATGCTGATAGTTTGTCAAACCGTGGCTCATACTTTGTTAGTTTGAGAGCAACATATGCAGCACTCAAGTCATCTGTCAGTCTGTTTCTTGTATCAGATTTGATATAATTCAAAGCTGAATACAGCTGTTCACAAGCATAAGATGATCCAAACAAAGTAAGAAAAGCAATCCCAAGTGCTTTCATTGACTTAAAATTATTTGGCAAAGAATTCCACACTTTAAGGATTTCATTTTCAAAACTACCAACTGTGCTGTGCTTTGTCAGCCCTTCAGACTCTATCTTCTCTATCTTCTCAAGTGTTGCACGCAGGTCATAAAATTTATTTTTCCAGATAGAGCTTTCTTGAAATTCCAGCAGCTCCATTTCCAGATTTCCATAATCTAACCAATATAAGCAGGAAAGATCAAGTTCTTCAAATTTGGCTTTATCTGGAGAAGTAAGAAAACACAGGGTTGTCTCCATCTTATGAAACTGTAAAAATCTGTTACTAAAATTCTCCTTTATAGCTGCTACCATACTAGAAAATTCCTTGTAGATTTCCTGATAGTTTATAAATTTGTCTGTAAATGTAGATTTTTCTAAATGAATTTTTAGATTTGGAAAATATTTCAGCTGCCCACTTTCTAGATCTCTTTCAAAAACCTGCAGTTTTCTCTCAAATGTTTTGATATCATAAAACATCCTTTCTGCTGTTTTCCCTACACTTTGTAGTCTTTTGTTAAGTACATTGAAGTGTAGTGTAAAATCTGTAAAAAACATGAGGTTATTAAGCCAGTCCATATTAGTGAGTTGTGGATATTCCTGCCCTTTTTCATTCATAAACAGTCTAATTTCATCCAAGCAGGCTACAAATTTCTCCAGGACTTGTCCTCTGCTCAGCCACCGGACATTACTGTACACAAGTAAAGCATTATACTGTGCCTGAACCTCAAGAAGTGCTTGAAACTGGTGAAAATTAAGAGCATGAGCCATGATGTAATTCACCATCTTTGAGACATCTTTGAGGATATCATCTAGTTTTTTGCTGCTTTCCTTTCCACAAAGAGCTTCTTGATGTATAATACAATGAAACTGAATGACTGGATGTTTTGCTTCTTTAACAAAGAACTGAATGAAACCCGACGTTGCCCCAACCATGCAAGGTTCCCCATCACTAGTAATTGAAACCACTTTTTCTGGTCTTATGTCTTGTGACAAAAAAGCCTCCATCACAGCATTGTAGATATCTATCCCTTGTGTTCTTCCAGGCAACGACACCAGTTTCACCAGCTCTTCTCTCATGACGTCACCAACAGCATAACGCAAAATTATTGCTAGGCTTGTATGATTATTTATATCTGCGCTTTCATCCAAGCACATGGAGTAACAGGCTGCCTTTTGTAAGTCAGTGGTGAGCTGCTGACTAACATCACTTGCCATGCGCAGGACTCGATCTTTAACAGTATTTCGGCTAAGTGGCATCTCAGAGATTCGTTGCATAATTTCATCCTTGTTTGGGAAATCATGAAAAAGGGAATTACTTCCAGACAACATAGCCATTTTGATAAAGTCCCCATCAGAGAGGGGCTTACCGTGCTTTACTATGCTCAGTGAAATCTGAAAGCTGGCAGTTGTCAGATGATTTGTTTTAGAAAGATAGTTGCAAAAACTAATATACTGAGAACGGTATTTCCTCAATTTTTCTTCCAGAAATTCTTTCCTTTCAGCTTCACCAAGTTCGGCAATACTTTTGTGGTTGGTGTCAAAGTGCCGTCTGACACTTGATGTGCGACACACAACACTTTTGCTACACAAAATACATAACGCTTTCCCATTGCATTCGATCACTCCAAATGATTCTGTCCAGGCCTCTTGGAATGATCTTCCACTATCTGTTTTCAGTTTTGCTTTCTTTGCTGTAGTCATTTTTTGGTGTTCAAGACTTGGAGTCTACAAAAACACAAAATTAAAAAAAAAAATGAAGCACTCAACACAAAATCTATCCCTATATCAAAAACAGCAAACACTATTAGTTAACACTAAAGAATTGGATATTCCCCAAATCAACAATCTATAGTAGTGATTCTCAAATGGGATTCCTCCTGAATTTGCTGATCACCAGCACAAGGGGCAATGTTCTACTGATCACCAGCTTGTGGCCTGCTCTGAAAAAGGCATCTGAGTGCATTTCATACCTTGTAGGGCTCCTGCTACAATCACAGCTAATCCAAGCAAAAATATATTTCCTTGCTCTTGTTTTCATAAATTCTTCACAAACAACTAAGTATGATGCTGCAGATTCAAATACGTCAGGGGGACAGCACATTAAAAGATTCTCCATTTCTTAATTAGAACATCTCTTTGCTAAATCTTACATACTAAATTTCAATTTTTCATAAGAAAGCTAAAGTCTTGTGTTAAAACAAATGTATTAAAACTGAGAGCCAGTCCAAATGTGTGCAATATATATATCTTGATAGTGCACTGACCAGGCATATGAAAGCTCTGTGAAGACGTGCCTAATTAGTCACAGTTCATGACATCATGGCCTGGGGCTATCACTACTTTTGAAGAATGCACATGGCCCCTGTGTGTGCTGTTATCCAATGCTCACTGCTGGAGGGATGTTAGGGCAACTTTGCTCAGAAACCAACACAGAGTCTGCTGTAGCATGCATGCTATAGGTTCAGCACTACTGTCCTAAGGCTTTCTCTAAATTTTGAGAAAGGACACACTTGACTGCATCTTCTCTGGTATTCAACAACCCACACACTTAATAAATGTTCCACTTCTTCTGTTTCTGTATGCCTTGTTCTAATGGATTTTGCAGAACTGGCAGCTGTTCCAGTTAGATAACTTTCTTTTACTTTCCCAGCACTGATTCATATTTTATACAACATTGACTTCTTCATGCTAGTTGTACATCCAGTGTCACAGGTCCTTTGATTTCTTGCCAAACATTTTACAATTTAAAGCTTTTCTTCAATTGTCAAAGCTTTTCTTCTTTTACACTATCAGTAATGTTACCACCAACATGCTTCCATGGCACTGTGGACCCCTCACCTTGCTTGTTTTCTGGAATATGAAAAAGCTTAGCAAAAAATGCACAAAGATGGTGGGGGTGGGGGTTTTACAATTAACCACTTCCAAAACAGTGTATGACCAAGAGAGCCAAACAGAAGGAAGTGAGGGGAAATGGGCATGACATGTAATACTGTATGTTTTTATGATTTGCTTCAATATTCATCTACAACCAGATACTTTGAATTCAGTTGCTCTTACTTGGTTACCCAAAACAACTTGCTGAAGATGCTAATATATAAGCCAGGAAAATTTCAACTTTAAACTGATCTCATTTTAAAGATTTTACATTCTACAAACACATGTTTTAATAAATCAAACTGCATACCTAAAAGGTCCTCTTCAAAGAAAGCAAATAAATATATGGATAGTATCATGACTGAAATGTGTCTAGCAATATCAATGGTATTCTAAAATTACTATCACAGCAGGCTAAGATATTGTTGATTCTAGTGTAATGTTTAAAGACTTTAAAAATTCTTCTGAGTAGAATACTAGACTCATAACACATCATATATCAACAATTCTAGGTATTAATTAGTGATACAGCCTATCATATAATCAACCCAGATCTTTCCTGACATTTCCACCAAATTTCTCCCCCCCTCCCCTTTCTGTCTCCTCTCTCTCTTTGCAGTACTGGAAATGGAACTCTGGGTCTCCTACATGCTAGACAATTTTCTACCATTGGCCCACAATCTTTTTATTTTTTGAGACAAGGTTTCTCTAAATTGCTCAGGCTGGCCTCAAGCTTGTAATCCTTCTGCCTCAGCCTTCCAAGTGGCTGGAATACAGGCATGTGGCACCATGCCCACCTCTAGGCTACTTCTGTGTTTGTCTCTTCCAGAAGATGTTTCTCATATTCTTTTTCTTTTGGTACTGGGGATCGAATTCGGGACCTTGTGCTTGTGAGGCAGGCAACTGGACCATTGAGCTAAATCCCTGGCCCTGTTTCTCATATTCTTAGGCTGATTTATTTTCATGTACGATAAAAGTAATGGACATCATAACGTAAGATAGATATACAAAACAGTAATTATTTTATACATTTACCTAATATAAATTCTTGAGTCTTACAATCATTAAATACAATTTGTACTATAAGCAATAAAGCAAGGTTTCCCATTTGGTTAAGTAATCTCATTTGAAACAGCCATCACACAAAAACTATCTCATAACCAAAAGTCTATTCATTTACACTGTGATAAAACACGACATACGTACTCAAAACCACACTTTGCAGCGACCAGGATGACGTTAATCCATCCCACTGACCTCATCCTGGACCCCTGCACTCAAATTCTCTACAGAAAGTGGCTTCTCCACTTCTCACCTGCTGCTTAGGCTCATCCAGCTCCCTCTCCAAGTCCTCCAGCACAGTCACCGCCTCCTCCCCACTCTCTGGATGCTGTTCGCGGACCCAGGCCCGCAGCTCCTCGGGCAGGATGGCCAGGAACTGCTCCAGCACCAGCAGCTCCAGGATCTGCTCCTTGCTGTGGGCTTCGGGCCGTAGCCACTGGTGGCAGAGCTCGCGGAGCCGGCGCAGCGCCTCCCGGGGCCCCGGGGTCTCCTGGTAGCAGAAATGCCTGAAGCGCTGCCGAGATAGCTCTCTAAGGCACGACACGCCCCTCGGCTGGCCGGGCTCCTGGTCCCAAGCGCGGTCCTCCTCTTTCACCGTCACCTGGACGATGTCCCCCGACTGCCCTGCAGCCCCGCCGGCCTCCATCCCTCCCGGGAGGCCACTCCGCTCGTGCTCTCGAAGAGCGTCCCTGAGCTCTAGTATCCGCCTCTGCCCCGACCTAAGGAGACACCTGGCGCGGAACTACGCAGATGGGCTGAGGCGGGCTCGTCCGCGTCACAATGCAGGCCATTCCCTTCAGAGCGACGGGACACTCGCGCGACAGGAGCCCCAGCTACCCGTGCCAGCGCGTACTGCTGCGCGGGGACATCAGGGAGGGGCCGCC